GCATTTACCATCAGCACATCGTGCTCCCTGGGCAGCTGCAGGTGGAGTCGCCTTCGTGTTGACACGCGGCTGTGGTTTCGCGAGGTTAAGTGCGAGAAGATCGTCACTCGTCAGGTGAAAACAACTTCCGACTTTTATTTGAACCCCAACAGTGACGTACGTCGTTCATCACACATAATTTGAACAAATTCACGTTCAAGTTCTTGATTTACAAAAGTGTTGGGTTCAGTTCAAAGTTCACTGAAAAATGAACGTGTTCAATGAACGTGTTCTTTTGAACTCGTTCATGCACAACACTGCAAACAGGTCCCATAAAAGAACTAAAAGTCCTGCACTGATGAATCCTCCGCACTGTGAGGACAGACGACAGTAACTTCGAGTAACTCTGTGGACTGGACTCTTGAGATTAAACAATGTGCTGATATAAAACTGTAAAAAAAAAAAAAAAAAAAAACTTGAACCAAAAGTCTGTAATAAGTCATGTAACATTATTATTCACAGATGATTGTGCTTATTACATTATTCAGATTATTACACATTATTTTGAGACAAAAACCTTTCAAAAAGTTTTTTTGTCCAAACTCTTCAAAGCGTTATAACAAAGCCGCTCCTCTGGTTTTAGAATCAGAGACAAGCTGGTTCTGAAACAGTTTACTGCTCTTGTTGGATCCTCTCTGCTTCTCTGGCTCTGCTCCTCTAGTCTGACCCCTTTCTCTCTTGCAGTGCATTGTGGGATTTGGAGTCTTCTTCTCTTGTTGGGGGTGGACCTTGTTGCCACAGCGACTCTGCGTAAACGACTTGACGGAGTTCGAGCCGACATTGAGAACCTGAGAGAAGCTCAGCTCAAAATGAGACAACACTTGAGAGACCAGGTGAGAGGAAGTCCAGATGTAGTCCTAGTTTAGTCCTGGTTTAGTCCTAGTTTAGTCCTAGTTTAGTCCTAGTTTAGTTCAGGTTTAGTCCTGGTTCAGTCCTGGTTTAGTCTTGTTTCTGTGTTGCAGGGTTTTCCTGCCTTCTCCTGTACAGATCGTGTGGTTCTTCTGGAGCAGGTGAGACCTGTCAATCAGCTTGTGTGGGGGCGGGGGTGGGGGGCTGTTTCTGGTCTGACACTTCCTGGTTGTTTCAGGGCGGGCTGGAGCTCTCTAGCGCCCTCTCTCGGCTGCAGAATTGCTCTGCCCCTTTGGCGCTGTTCTCGCCACATTTCTGTGACGCGGTGACGCTGAACCAAGACCTGCTGCTGCGCCTGGTGAGAGCGCCCCCTGGGGCTGTGTGTGTGCTGGTACATCAGTCTAATGTGTGTGTACAGGACACCAGCAGAGGGCGCAAGGACCGCCCCACAGAAGCACAGGGGAGCAGTCTGTGAGAGTCTGAGAACTGGGGTGGAACAGTGCCGCAGTGTTTAGCACTTTCTCACAATAAAAAGGTCCCTGTTTCGACTTTCGGCCTTTCACTGTGGAGTTTGCATGTTCTCCAAGTGTCTGTGGCACAGTAGACTTGCTCAGTATCTGGAGATGATTCCCACTGCTCCTGACAGGTTTAACCCAGAGACACTGAAGATGAGTCAAAGCAGGTTTAACCCAGAGGGGATTCCACCTTAAGAGTCCACCTTAAGAGCCGTAAACTGTGACTCGTCTTTTCTCGTGTGAGGCGTTTCCATTTGTTTGTGGTGTATTTACTCATCTCTCCTCCTCTCTTTCTCCCTTCCTGCTCTCCTCCTCGCCCCTCCTTCCTTCTGTCTCTCTCTGTTTAGGGTCTGGACCAGGACCCGGTGTTCTGTAACTCGACTCAGAGTCCAGGCTTGAGTTTGGACTCGGACTCGACTCTTCGGGCTCTGCAGTGTCTCCAGTGCTGGATCCAGCAGGTGGCAGTAATGAGCATGAACATGCGCCTGCTACTGTAGACCAAGACCAAGACTTAGTCTAGTCCTGGTTTAGCCCTGGTTAAGTCCTGGTTCTGTCTTAGTCTAGTCATGGGTTAGACCTGATTTAGACCTGGCCTGTTCCTAGTTTAGTCCTGTTTTAGCTCTGGTTTAGATGTGGTTTAGTCCTGTTTTAGACCTAGTGAAGTCCCATTTTAGGCCTAGTGTAGTCCTGTTTAGTCCTGGTTTAGTCCTGTTATAGACCTGGTTCAGTGGTGTTTCAGACCTGGTTCAGTCCTGGTCTAGTTCTTTGCGACCCCTTTTGAATATTTATTCTTGTGTCTTATTTAATGAATAGATTATGTTTATTTTGTTATATTTTTGTACCAAATCAACAGAATTTGATATAAACTATTTTTGTACAAATATATTTTTAAATAAAATGCAGATTTTTGTGTTTATTATTTTGTATTTATTATTATAGATTTTGATGATGAATGATTAAAAACACAAACGTAAACGGGTGACAGTGATCTGTCCACCGACTGGAAGGTTGGAGTTTCAAATCCCTCGACATAAACATCACTGGTAGCACAGTGGCACAGCGGACAGAGGAGACATGATACAGACAGGACATGTCTCTCTCTGCAGGAGACATGCGCAGTAGAGCACAAAGTGACGTACTCTGATAATGTCTCTGGAGGGTCCCCTGTGGGACCAGGACTCCCTTGAAAAGGAGATTCTTAATCTCAGAGGGTCTATCCTGGTTAAATAAAGGTCATATCTACTAACCCACAGTTTGGTGGTGTGATTCCAGCTCCCATAGATGAACATTGTTGTTGTGTCCTTGAGCAAGACACTTAAATAGTTCTCCATTGACTCACGCACACTACCGCCGTCGCCTTGTTGCCATCGTTTTTGGTTCATGGGTGTAGGAGCTCTATGCGCCACGAAGTAATTCACCAGCACAAAGCTAGGAGGCGCTGAGTCACAAAATTGCATGAACTCTGCATGAAAAACGGTGTTCGTGTTTACAAAATGAAGCGGGAAAGTAAAGTACCTGTGGAGGGTTCACGATGACGTAGACTCTGTGTGTCGTGATGCCAACTGTTAGATGCACGACCATAAATTGGGCGGAACACTTGACCCCCTCAACCCGGGGGTGTGTGTGTGAGTGTGAGTGTGTGTGTGTGTGTTCACTGACGTAACGCTTTGAGCCTTGAAGATGGAAAAGCGCTGTATATGTGCTTTTCAGATTGTAGGTGATGATGTCACACTCTCAGACGGGGTCAGAGGTCACAATTCTAGTGATCACATTGAACTTTACAAGGAAATCTCCAAAAGGTCAATTCACAAATGTTGAACTTGATCATTATTAGTGAGTACAGCCACGAGCTCAGTGTATGACGACATACATGTGTATCTGAACAACATTCAGTTGAGCTGCTCCATCAGTCTGAGCGATGGTTGGACTGGAGAATGTCAGAAACACAAACGTGATCATGAGCACATTTTAAAGTGCTATATGTTGTTGGAAAAAAAAGAACCACATAATTATCCCCTAGTTATTCCCCAAAACCGATTCTAAATATAAAAACACAAACTGCAGAAATTAAAAGATTCCTCTGACAGATTGGATCACTCATTTTACTAAACCACACTTAAGATCACAAGATTTTACAAACAAACAAAAAAGTAAAGTACATTTTTTTGCCCAGTTTGGCCATTTTTAAGATTTCAAATTGTACTTCCTGGTTAGAAATGATGACACGACAACTGTTACTGTAAATCTCAAAAAAATTGTTTCTTGAACAGCATTCTCCCAGTGTGATGTCATCGATGTGGGACTCTCTAAAATAAAACTCTACTATCTGTAATTTTCATCACAAATTACTTTTTGTTTGTTGTAAAACTATAATTTATCTTTACAACAGGTTTTAACACAACAAATGAAGTATAAATGAGAGAATGGTCCACGTGTCATACACACGTTAAGTAGTGTGTAAAGAGTCACAGAAGGCATTTCTAGCCTTCTCATAGACTCTGTCTCTGGACAAAGATAAACCACTAGCCACTGCATTCCAAACAGGAAGTGAGTATGGGCGCAGGTTGGCTCCATCAACTCTGTTCACTTTGTAATGAAAAAGTGTGGCCCCTCTCTCTGTCCCTGCTGTTGTCGGGTTGAATCTGCTCTGCATGATCCTGGGGTTTTTATTTCACTATTTTGTTCCTAAATCAAGATGTGAACATTAATAACAGACCAATCAGAAGCCTTCTCTCCCACTAGTACAAAGGGAAAGTACACACAATGAATACTGACCCCAAAAAAGATCTTGTTCCAGTGTGTGACTGAACCAGAAGTGGAGTCTTTATTGTGACAGGCCTATGACAGGTTTTTATGATTCTCTAAATTGAATGGAATCTGGTGGGATAAAACCTGTAAATATAAAATATAGTTTCTCACAAATCAAGAAAGATTTGTGAAGAAAACTTGAAAAATATGTTGAAAATTACAGGAAGTAAACCCACTGATGAGATCAGAGAGAATTCAGTCCAAAAGTTTGACAGTTTACACAGAAACACATTATCTGTCAAAACAAGTTTTGTCAGCTGACATTTCATGAGGGGTATTCTGCAACAACTTTTTTTTATTTTAGCCATCATGTTCCCTCATCAAAAACATGCCTGAAGAGGTTTTAGATCAGGCAAACCTCCTTATAGTTAAAAGTACAATCCTGAACGAGGCTCCGCCCACAAGCCTACATGATACAAAACAAGATACAAAACTACACAGCAACTTGACAAACCTGTGATGTGCAGTAGTTTCATTACCGGGACGCACACTGATTGTTATAACGCTCTGAAGGGGGAGTGACTTTGCATCGGGAGCAAAGGGAGGGGAAACTCAGAGGGTCAAAAACAGAAGTGAAGCTTATAAAACAGGTTTTCAAAGAATATACCATTTTCATAAGGCAACATGGTGATCTATACACAGTATGTAATGTTTTACAGTTAATACCCCAAGAAAGTAAAATACCCCCTCTTTAAAGTAAAGGTAAATGGAAGTGGGCAGCACTGCCTCTTTCTGGTCACATTCAGGAGCAGACAGGAGTAAACATCAGAAAAAACAAAAGTCAAACAGTAGAATCCAGTCATTTTTATTCCAAAACTCTGATGACGTCACACGGGAATAAAAAAATAAAATAATAAAAACACGACACAAACTACAGACGCACACAGATCTATTTACAGAGAGGGGGCGCCATCGAGCCACTCGCCCGGCAGGGTAGGACAGGGGGATTGCGGGAAATGTAGGACTCTCTGGGTCAGACCTGATTCTGAGAACAGCACATTTGATAAATCTTTAAAACCATGATCAAACTCAACGCTTCTGTGGATGGGTCATACGTGAGAGCAAACTGGACTCCAGGGGGCGCTCTCTTGTGACGACACTGGACTTAAAGGGTCTGAACGGCTGTGGAGGAGTCTGGCGCTGGACTAGAGCTGGACTGGAGCTGATCTGGAGGAGGTGGCTCTAAATGTGGACTCATGTTTTCCCTGATTATTCATGACAGTTGTGTTTGGAAGCCTCCAATTCTGATGCTCACAGCGCCCTCCAGAGCAAACTCAACTTCGAAACATGAACTCAAACCTCGGATATCACTGAAAAGAACTATTTGAAATGCATAAGCTCGAAATGGTCCAATAAATGTCACTTACAACATTAGTGACTTAGACCTGGCGAGAAAAACATAGGGCTGCAACTAACCATTATTTTCGTGATCAATTAGCCTAGCAATTATTTCATTTGATTAATCGATTAGATCATAAAAGGCTCAAGAATCAGTCTTTTCAGAAATATTTGTTGTTCCCACATCAAAAACAGACCTGGAGTTGTGTTTTGTTTCATTCACACATGTTTGAGTAACTCTGTATTATTAGTCCGTCTACATCTGCAAAGCTCCAAATGCTCTGAACAGCTCCTTCTACCTTTAGTTCCGTAAAGATGAACAATTTCAGGTCTGAAATTATCCAAATGATTCTAGTGAAGATGTTTGGAGTTTAAAAAACACAGTGGAGCACATGACAACACAAGTGTTTTTTGACGAACTCAGCCTAAATGTGCAGGGTTTGTGAGTTAAACATGTGCAAATGAAAAAAAAAACAACTCCAGGTGTGTTGTGATGAGGAAACTACATTAGAACAGATCAGAAAACGGTTTAAGAAAATCATTTTTTGTTTTGTTTTGAACTCCCATTGACAAACTAAAACAGGTCCTTGGTCAGTGGAGGGTGCTGTGAGCTTTTACATTTAAAACCATAACTCCAGACTGTACAGATAGCAGTGCATTATGGGAAGTGGAGTCCATGTGTGGCGTGGTTCTGATTGGATGACAGGCTCTGGTTCCTGGCTCTGATTGGGTGAGGGCGGTTGGGTTCCTGGCTCTAATTGGCTGGCGGGGTTGGTTCGTGGGCTCTGATAGGCTGAGGGTGGCTGGGGGCGGGGTCACTCGTCATCGTCATCGTCATCTTCCGCGTCTCTCTTCCTCTTCTCGCCTCGGAGCGCGTCCTCATCTGAAAATGAGATTCACTGTTTTGAAAGAAGTCTCCAAACGTGTGCACAAATGCTGGACCTTCTCAGTATGTTTGTGATCAGCTCTTATAGTCATATTAATGTCAAACTTGTCATATTCATCTTACGGTTTAAAGTCCTTTCAACTGAAACACTGAATAACGGCTCCACTTTCTGAAGCTGTTGTAAAAAAAATCATTTAACTTTAGTTTATTTCTTCTGACAAAGAAGACACTGAACTTTGTGCCAGTTTTTGTTTCAGTGGATAGGCCCCAGAATTAGAAATATGAACCATAAACCAGGACAACACTTTTGCATCTGACCGTTACAGCAAACTCCACCTGACGATTCTCACCTCTTCTCTCAGTTTAAATTAGAGGGATTTTTTTTTTTACATTTTTCTGATTAAAAAATCCTCAAAGTAGGACTCATTAATCCTGAATTATTGAGATAACTGCATATATTATTAATTAACATATTTAAAAGGATTAAAATTTCATATTAATACTTTGCATTGACATGACACTGAGGGTCTTCTACATGTATCTGTATGGTAGAATGTTCAGCAGTTACCATGTTGACACAATGCACACATTAGCAACCACTAACAACAACAACAACAAAAAAAAAAAAAAAAAAAAAAGTTTAAGATCTGAAAACAAGAAAAAACACAAGTGATTTAAAGAGCACATTTTCAGGAGCCTGAGATGAGTGCGAGCGTTCGTGGTCCTGTTTAGGAGTTTGATTTTCAACTAAAAGGTGAAAAAGTGTGACTGATGTTATTTGAGAGGGACTTATTTACCAGCACAGATCAGCTCTCCTGTTGTAGTCCAACTCAGTCTTTAATCTGAGTTTTATTTGAACACAATCTGACTATAAAGACCTAACAGAGCTTCAGACAGAGCAGTGTCTACAGCTAGCGTCACACTCAGAGGGAATGCTGAGGCTTTTGTTTAGTGTGTGATAAATATATATAAATATATATACATATATATGATAAATATATTCGATAGTTTATAGAGGAATTGTGATCCAAATGTGACAAACCTCCATCCTCCTCCTCTTCTTCCTCCTCCACGTAATCTCCATCATCTTCTTCATCCTGGAACAGAGTCACACCGTCAACAGGCTAACCACTCTGCCACAGTCACGCTCACACCAGGAGTTTAACCCACAACCTCACCTGGATGCCCTCCCTCACCCCGTCTCACCCGGATGCCCTCCCTCACCCCGTCTCACCCGGATGCCCTCCCTCACCCCGTCTCACCCGGATGCCCTCCTTCACCATGTCTCACCCGGATGCCCTCCCTCACCCCGTCTCACCCGGATGCCCTCCTTCACCCTGTCTCACCCGGATGCCCTCCCTCACCCCGTCTCACCCGGATGCCCTCCCTCACCCCGTCTCACCCGGATGCCCTCCTTCACCCTGTCTCACCCGGATGCCCTCCCTCACACCATCTCAGCAGCAGTGTCTCACCTGGATGCCCTCCCTCATGAGGTAGGACAGTCCGACCTCTTCGTCCTCTGAACCTTCGTCCTCATCTTCGTCGTCTTCGTCATCGTCATCGTCATCGTCATGGGGACCAGCCTCATCATCATCATCGTCTGCAGAAAAACACAAACTTTTAAAGCACCGAATGTTTCTGTTTCTAAAGCAGAAATTATTCTGATGATTGATTGATTTGAATGATTTTTTACAGAGGTCTGAATGAACGAGCACCTTTATTCACACGTAGATCCAAAAAGGATTTACTCAAGATTTCAGATTAGCTTTATCAAGTTATAGCCACGGCTGTTAGGGAATTTCTCCTGCGGTGTAGCATAGCGGCTCAACAGCGCGATATGTGATGATAATGCACTCTCTCCCCCACCCTCCATCCCCCATCCCCCGGAGTTACAATATTTTCAGAGGCACTGAAAACTCTCTCTGATGATGCGCTTGTTGCAGATGCACATGTACCTTGGTTGTTGTGTGGATATAGTGTGTGTGGCGGGAGAAGTAACATTTGGCTTTGGAACAAGTGCCGCTGCATCTCTTCAGCTCTCACTGTGGCAGCTCGGGTCAGAGTCCTGCACCAGGTCGGGTCAGAGTCCTGCACCAGGTCGGGTCAGAGTCCTGCACCAGGTCGGGTCAGAGTCCTGCACCAGGTCGGGTCAGAGTCCTGCACCAGGTCGGGTACCTGCAGACTTAAGAGAGGGAGAACCCGAGCACGAGCGCGATCAAATGACGGCTGCGTTTACCACCATGCGGCGCGGAGCTCTGCAGTCCTTTCGCCTGCGGTCACACGACGGGCTTCGCGGACGCACCTTAGTCCTGGGTTAGTCCTGGGTTAGTCCTGGGCACAGGCGGTAGTGGGTGCGAGTCTCTGAAAATGGACCCATGCAGGACTCTGGGTCGGGTCATGTTGGTCACGTGCGGTGATCACAGTGACCCAACTTAGAACCGCCTTGATTCATTTTTGCGGTTATTGTGACAGCCCTAGTTATAGCTTTCAAAAAAGAAAAAAAAGTCTGAGGGGCCACATTTGGCCCCTAGGCCATAGCTTGGACATGCTTTTTCAAACAAAGGAGCAAAGAGTAACAGCCAGGGGGCAGTGTAGAGCAGATCTGGGCAATGTCCAGCTCCAAGGGCCACATACTGCCCTCTGGCTGACTCAGACAGGCCTGTTTAAGATCGTTTGGAATTATAAATGAAACATATTTCATTATTTGACCTTTTAGTCCTGCATGGACTAAAGCTGCATTGTTTTTTTATTTTAGAGGTGTTTTTTTATAAATGATATTTTTGTTCAGCAGTGTCACTTTTTCATTGCTTAGTCAGAACATAAACTCTTCCCAGTCTGAGCAGCTTGTCAGAACAATGAGATTTACTGATTTCTATAAAGAAATACAGTTCATACTATGCAGAATATTTTCTGTTTCTCATGTGGCCCCCTTGAAAAAAGAATTACCCCCCGCTGTAGTCACACACAGCGTGCAGTGTGACAGACAGGGGGCGCTCACCATCAGGGGCCTGGTTGTGGTCCTGGTCGAAGCCGTTTAAGAAGCAGATCTGAGGCAGCAACTCAAACACTTTCTCTCTCCATGACTCTTCATCCTCTTCATCCTCCTCCAGGTCCAGAGACTGGAGAGCGGGGAGCTTCTGCTGCTCAGAGACACAAGCACGAGTTACACATGTACACACGTGTACACACACACACATGTACACACGTACACGTACACGTACACGTACACACACACACACACACACACACACACACACACACACGAGCTTCTGCAGCTCAGAGTCACAACCACAAATTACACATGTACACGCACGTTAAATTGTATGTTATGTAACACACAAAGTTTAAGGGGGGGCTTACATTTCTGTAGGTTCATTAATGTAACATGACATATTTAGATTTAAATGCTATATTCACCCAAACCAACATATTAACATGTTTTAGAAGTTTCAGTTTTATTTTTGACGCTCTGAGTCTCCTACTCTTTGCTTCAAGTCACTCCCCTTTCAGAGCGCTATCAGAACACAATCAGTGTACATCCTGCTAATTAAACTACTGCACAAACATCAGGTTTGTCAAGTTGGAGTGTATCGTTTTGGCTTATGTCTGTGTATTTATGAAGAATACTCCTCTTACACACACAGGGAACACTGCTCAGAGACAGAGTCACATCATGGTTGGTTAATTAATAAACTGGCTTCATCATTTCAAGTTTAGAAGAAGGTACCGTTCTCATTAAAGATCTGTGTTTGAAACAGGTCCCGTTTCTTCGCTCAGTATGGCTCCTCTGTTTTACATTAGTCATGTAAATTTAAACACAGCCTGAGGAAGGTCGCAGTGTCAGGTTTGTGGTGTGAGTGTGTGAGTTTGTGGTGTGGGTGCAGTTCTCGTACCAGCCCCTTGATGGCGCTCAGGTCCTTGATGCTGTTGCCGCTCAGGTTCAGGTAGGTCAGAGCAGGACACTTTTCAACCAGAACCTCTAACCCCGAGGAGAGCGCGTTATCACTCAGCTCCAACTGGAACAACACAACAGAGTTAAAGCAGAGAGCAGAGAGCAGACCCAGTCCAGGTCATGGTGCATGTAGACCTGCTGTCAACTAAATCAATTCTTGATGGATTAAAGACATCAGTCCAACGGATCCAAAAGTACAATCCAGGAGCATTGTAGGAGGGTTGGAAAGGTTGTCCACTCAACAACCAAGAAAGAAAATTGAGTTTTAATGAACTAGATACTTCTTTAATGAATTAGATATGTGTTTATATTTCTTTATATTAGTATTAAGCCCACATGCATGTACATATAGCGAGAAAACATTATCATTTACATGTAGTATATGTAGTGTAAAAAATGATCAGAGGGGCCCTATATGATCGTTCCATCGATGGGGGGTGCGACTGGATTAGTCGACTAAAAAGGGGGCATGGCAAAAGCTCTCAAAAACTATTCTGTATCTGCGTATGTGCACAAACTGCACTCACAAGACTACACCTGGAGGAGTGCATGCAAAAACTAATATTTAAGAAAAAAAAAAAGTAGTAGGAAACTATGTATTTCTATTTCTTAAATGTAGTTTAAACTTGGATAGCTCACAACATCCTTTCCTGTTGCTAAAAACCACAATTATTTTTAAACTAGTCAAGATTTGCTGATGAATCATTATAGCCCTAGTGATCCTGACACCCTGTCCTTTACGCTTCAAGTCCACACGTCTATGCTTCTAATAAGACAGAAGAAGATCGAACTGAAAATTGAGCTCGATCAATATGTGGAAAAAAATGTGATTCTTTTTATTCCCCATATCGCCCAGCCCTAACAGAACAGCACTCATATTATGTAAGAGCGTGTTGTCAGCGTGTTACTCTTTTGAGTTTGGACAGGGAGGGCACAGAGTCAGGGTGCTGTAAGGGTGCTGTAAGGATGCTACTGACCCGCTTCAGTTTGGGCAGAGAGGGCATCTTGCTCAGGCTCTTGAGGCCGGTGTTACACAGACTCAGGACCTCCAGAGCAGAAAAGTCCTCACTCAGACCATCCAGCTCTCCGTCTGCAGAGACACAGCTATCCAGGAGCAGCTCCACCACCTGGACACAACAGGAATGACCCTTAACAGAGAATATACAACCTGAACTGGAGTTTTTCTCCAAATCAGCAACACAACTGCACTGCTGCTTGACTTTTCAGAACGAGGGTCAAAGAAATTTTACCGTGCTGTCAGACACAAAACCAAATGTGCTTTCACAGTAGTGAGTGACTGATTACTGGTGTAAACATGGTTAAAGCTCTGAAAAGTCCAGTTTGCAGAATAGGTCTGATGATTTAAGTTAATTTTCTAACTGTTATCTTGATTTTGATTGGATATTTCTATCCTCGTCAATACAGCTAAAAGAAAGAATACTTCTAGAAAATTACAAATGCACATTTCACAAAGCTGCACTTTAACATTTACAAATACATGGCCAACATTCTGGCACAACAAACTGTGGAATTACTTTAAAGATTCTAGAACAACTCTTACATTTAATAAGGTATGTGTGTATCGATTAGTATGCAGGAAATTCTGAAATGTACGCACAACCAGTCAAATGTTCAGACTCACAGTCTCGGTCCATGTTTTTCTACATACGAAAGACATCAAATGATGTATAGAATTATGTAGTAAAGGAAAAAAAGTTTAATAACATTACTAAATATTTTTTGACAAAGCAAAGGCTGTTATTTAATGTTTTTTCTTTCAACATAATTTCCATATATCTCACTTCATATATTTCATATCTTCTGTATGTATATAAAATGTAGAAAGTAGAGATGGTGAGTCCAAACTTCTGACAGGTAATGTACGTTTATACTAGTATATGGAATTGGTTTCGTTGAATGGAGTCAGGGATTCAATTGGAATCGTACTGGAAGTGAAAAAGCTGGTATCCACATCTCTGTTGTTTTCATTATGAGGTTCTGGCCATGTTTGAGCAGAAACACTCAGATGGTTATTATTATTACTGAGACTTATGTACATTTGAACAAGGCTCTTGTTATATTTTTGCACCAGATTATTAAAGCACATTCCAGGGAGGCTCAAATCAAACAAATAAACACATCATCATCATAAATACGATAATTCAATTCTGTGGTCAGTAAAATTCCCCCTTAACCCTGGTGAACAGAGGACACCATCTCCCTCCTGTGCTGGTTTCGTACGGGCTCTGTCCTCATTTAGTACTGATTTCGTCTTGCTTTAGAACTGGTTCTTTCTTGGTTTAGTACTGGTTCTGTCTTGGTTTAGTGTCTGGGCTGGTTCCAGTGCTCCATGTTCGCTCCTGGGCTCAGAAAAGCGACACTAAACCTCCAGCCAAACTTTTAGAATGAGCGGTTACTATGGACGCTGCGCGCACGCCAATCTCCGCAGGGGTCCGGATCTGGGACGGTTTTACGCACAGGAGTAAATACGGGGGCACGGGGCTTTAATCCACAATTCTATACATTTATTATCATCTCTCTGTTTAGTTCCATTTCACCATCCGAGTTTTTAGTTATTTTGTGAATTTTATGTTTCATTGAACATTGACAGTAAATAACAGCTCGGGGGTAGCTGCGTTAATCCGTACGGTTCTCAGAATAAAGTCGTGAATATAGTGTTAATTATTAGTGTAACTTTTCAGCATCTTCTCCAAGCTGCGTTCTGAAGCCTTCGGACGCGCTGCTCTTTCTGTGCCATTCAAAGCCGCTTATCCCGCAGCCGCCGGAGCTAACACGGAGCTAACGCGCAACTAAAGCGGAGCTAAAGCGCAGCTAGCCTCGTCTCGTCCGCTTGCACTGGGGCTGTTAGCTCCTGATTAGCTCCGTATCAGCGGGCTCGGGTTTCACACGGAGGGGCAGAGCGGGAAACACCAACTGTCTGCACACAACTGTTGTCTGGGTGTTTGTGGCTTTATCACCGGCTCCATCTTGAACAGCGGGAGGTGGTGCTGTGTGTGGCCGCGCTCAGAGGCACTGCCGCGGGGAAGTCCCGAGCGCGCTGCCGCTGATCCCCCGGGTGTCTTTAGCGTACAGCGAAATAAAAGGGATTAAATCGAGACGAGGGAATAAACTAAGGATAAACTAATGGGTTTCTGTCGGTATATGAAAAATTAAATGTCACAATGGAGGTTTTTAAAGTCACAACTAAATCCTCAGACGAAGGAGCGATGGAGCAAAGTGTCGTTAAAATAAGTCTAACGTTAAATAAAATAATACGATTAAACCCTCACCTCGGCTGGTTTCCTGCCGCCCAGCTCCTCGGTAATCCTCTTTTTCATCTCCATTTTAGTGGCGCAAAAACGGTAAATAAACAAAGATAGAACAGAAAAATGAGGGATAGCCGAAGCGCGGTGTCACAGGCCTAGCAGCTCAGACGGACGCCAGAGCACAACTGAACCGCCATCTTACTCCCGTCCGACCTCCACCGCGGACGCCCTCCTTCACGCAACCCATTGGCTCGTTTTTAGGTCACTCACCCAGGCTGTACTTTCCCATTGGCTGCAATCTTGGGCGGGACAGATAAATAGCCAATGGCCAAATGTTAGCGGAGTATTTTAAACCGTAGTCCCTCCCAGGCTTTGTGCTTAATGGCGCCACAGTGGAACAGTTGTAAACAGTAAACCGAATACAGACACTGTTGGGCTTTTTCTTGGTTTAAAAATGATCTTTAAAATATTTCATTGAAGCATAAACAGCCACAGTCGAACATAATAGATTTCTTACAGTTAAAGCTCAATTTAAACAGTACAAAAGCCTTAAATCACACACACATCCATATTGTAATTTCTGGTGGCATTACAAACATTGATAATACAGATCTTTCATCTTTGGTCAGAACTCATTGAATAAATAAAATAAAACATGTTCAATCTCTACAGAAGGCTGTTGGAAAGCATAATTTGTCCAAGAGTTGATGACTTGGACGATAGAAACTTCAGACACAAAAGTTATGGCAGACTGTGCCCCAGGCTTTGTTGAAAATGAGGTCATAGAGATTTGGAGTTTGGAGTTGGGGGTTTTGGAGTTGCCCACCCCCCACCCCACTGACATCTGTTCATCGAGCCTCCTGATTGGTCCATAATCTGCTTTAAACTGTGATGGAAACACAAGAGCACTTAACATGTACCGCATTGTGCAAAAATAATGGGTCTCTGAGTGTTTTAATAAATAGACTTTATATTTGTTTGTAATTAAGACATTTTCAGCACTAAACCAAAGAGAGACTAGTGATGGGAAAACTGAACCAATGAAGCCTCAGAACCAGTAAAAGAGCCCCACCAAATACTGCCATCAATTACTTTCCAGTGTGTATGAACCTTTGTTGATTATAACCATGATGAGAATATGTATAAAATGTTCTCTGTTCACATACATAGTATTTATCTGGATTCACACAGACCGAGGCCTCGGTCACATGACTTCAGCAGATTCGAGGGTTCAAGGCTTCATTTGGCACGCCCACTTAGCTTCGATCTCACTTCATTTTGCCCATCACTTAAACCAGGTCCAGGACTAAACTCTTAGATCCTGTCTGTTCCACTTGGACTCAGTAACTGTAGAAGTGACAGAGATATAATCTTCAGTTCAGAGCATTTACCCCTGATTGAATATAAAAGTACCATTGCAAGATAGAGCCAGTGCCCTGGTAGACGTCTGACTATCTCTAGTAGTTTTCTTATTGTCATTAGTCATAGACATCGGCACTCATAACATGACACAAAAGTACAGGAGACTTAAAGCTTTTCAGACCCAGAGAAAAGAGGTTTGGTGCAGACTGAGGACATGGCCTCTGATCCAGCTCCTGAATTCTGCAGCGACCGGCCTTTGTTTAACACTTCAGTGAGCATTAGGATTTTAGTAAGATCAGAAGCCAGTTTCAGAGGTTTTAATGTAAAACCTGAAATTATTAAGTTACACTTTATTGTGCCCACACTGAAATGTGTCCACTGCATTTGACCCATCCTGCACTGTCTCTGGATTAAACCTGCATTTGACCCGTTCTTCAGTGTCTGTGGGTTAAACCTGTCAGGAACAGTGGGACCCATGTCCAGATCTTGAGCTAGTCTTGGTCAGGACTGCCTCAGCTGGAGGTTTTGACCCATTGTTTTGTGTTGATAGGTGAACCTAGAGTGCCCTTAGGGAAACCATCCAGACACAGGGAGAATATGTAAACAGAAAGGCCCAGGAGTCCGACCAGGGACCTTTTACTGTGAGGCAGAATTACTAACTACATTGTGTCACCATCTGGTGAAGGTTTGTGGACCAGAATTACTGAAAAATGTGAATGAAACATAGCTCCAGGGATGCTTTTGAAAAGGATACTACATTAGAACTGGGCTAAAGTTCCACTGCAGAACATTTCATTAGAATTGGCTTAAAGCCTCACTGTGGAACATTCTACGAGAACAGGGTTACAGAGAGAAAAGGCCGTTCAGCAGAATACAGGAGCTTTGTCTAGCACAGTGACCCCTGGTGGAGGCCTTAGCTCTTGCATAATCTCTTTGGACATTCAAAGTTTGACAAAGACACGCCCCCAAAAGGCGTTGTCATGTGACCTAAAGACATGCCCCCAAAGGCGCTGACATGTGACCTAAAGACACGCCCCCCAAAGGCGCTGTCATGTGACCTTATGACGAATGCACTAAGGCGCTGTCATGTAACCCGTCTGTCAGAACTTGTCGAGGTAAGATCTTTGGAGACGATAAAACATCCTTTAGTTTGAAGTCAAAGTGCAGAGGAAATGGGGGACTCACACTCACATTGGGTCTACACTGACTGCAGGTGCCGTTCAGGACCTACACGGGTCCCAGGAGACTTAATATCATTAAAAACAATGGGAACTGTTATACTGACCAATGTGAGTCTATTTTTCCTGGACAGCACAATGGTCTGGAGCGGAGGTCATTAGACGTGTGTTATATGCAAGTAACTGCTCAAAGAATGACCTGCCCCACGGTCAGGGTTAACCCGGCAGTAAGTAAGGTTGATTATAGTTTTCATTGATGCTAATGATAAATATGTCCTCTGGAGTTGAGAGAAAAAGGTTCAAAAGTCAGACTGTTTTGAATGAAGACGTTTCAGACAGAGGGCAGTTTCAGTCTTAAGGTCCTGGTCTGAGGAACGTGCCTACAGGTGACCTAGAGGGACAAGCGTGTGACTGCTACTGTCCCCTGGAGCCAGAGGAGGCGTCACTGAGCTGTGTGGTGGTGAGGTCAGGGGTCAGAGGAGGTGGTGTTGCCGTGGACATGTTTCAGACAGAGGGCAGTTTCAGTCTTAAAGTCTTGGTCTGAGGAAAGTGCCTACAGGTGCCAATGACCTTCAGATGGGAGCTCAAACATCTCCACTTCAAACACAGGTCTCCCTTTTCTCCTACAGACCTCTGAGGGTGCTCTAACCTAGAGGGACGACTGTGTGACTGCTACTGCCCCCTGGAGCCAGAGGAGGCATCACTGAGCTCTACGGAGGTGACGTCAGGGGTCAGAGGTGGTGGTGTTGCCGTGAGGTCAGAGGTGATGGTGTTTCCGTGCAGACAGGAGTCAGAAGAGGTGGTTTTGCTGAGGGGTCAGAGATCGTGGTGTTGCCGCGGAGACAGTGCGTGCAGCACCTGGTCGAGCAGCTGCAGAGCGCGGTGTAGGTGCACCTCCAGCCAGCAGGGGGTGTCCTGGATGCAGCGGCGTGGATACTGCTGCCCCCAACCCTTCACTAAACTCACCCGGAACACACAGAGTCCCCGGAGCGCATCTACGTGAGGACCTGAGAGAAAACAGTGTCAGAACAGGGTCAGAACAGAGAGCAGCGTGTCCATGTGAGGACCTGAAGGAGAACAGGGTCACAACAGGATCACAACAGGGCCTAAACCAGCACTAAGCACAGAGGAGCGCGTCCATGTGAGGACTTCATTGAGAATAGGCATGTGGACTAGTTGCAAAGTATTTTTTGATAGCGAATTGGGCTTTTTCTTTAGAGGAGTCGCTCACACGCTCTAATACTGCGTTCAGACTGCAGTGTCATATTCGTGTCAACATGTCTGGTTGGACACTTTTGCATTTAGAGCAGATTCTTAAAACATTTAGATCAGGGGTCTCAGACTCGCGGCCCGGGGGCCAACTGCGGCCCGCGGAAGGATTTTTTGCGGCCCTCCACTTGATTACAAAGAATAATGTCAGTGCGGCCCGCGGTAGATGTACGCACAATCCCACCCCCCTACCGCGGGCCGCACTGACAGATGAACCTGCAATCGGTGCCCATACAGATTCACAGCAGATTATTAACGCAGTTTACATCCCAAAACTCAATTTACAGCAGTTATGAAGCAACGAGTCTAAGTGGATCTGTTAATACAAGTACACGTGCACATACGGCGTCACCGAAGAACCAAAACAAACCACACATGGTGGTACACGTGTGCACTTCACTTTATGCTCCCACAACCACAGCATCAGAGCGCAGAGGAGGCGCTGACGCAATTCCCCTGTTCATAAGTATGGGACCTTTATTGGAGGGGGTAATAAGAAATAAAAAGACATTGACAGTCTGTTTATCTGTTCAACACTCGGTGCGTAACTTGCTGGCAACTCGATGACCAAGCTCCACATATGTGTCGCCGAAATCCACGCGCACTCAGCGGCAAACACAGCTGTCCCATCAATATGCAAGCGCCACAAAACTGCAGTGATCTATTCCAGAGGCTTGGCGACATGTTAGCAAAAAGTACGAGGCAAAAACAAGCGTCTTCCATCCATGTTTGACATACGAGAAACAGATACACTCCAGTGTGGCGCTTTCACACCGGCAAACGAACCAAAACTGGTCCAATTAACGAGCCTCTGTATCCCGGTAGAACAGTGATATCTCCAGTAACCAATACTGATGTTCCCTGTTAAAACCGCGGGTCGTCCTCATCTTATCACCATGAACTCATAAAACAGCAACATAGAACTTTCTACAAACTCACCGCATCAGTTCTGAGTTCGGGTAACAGCAGAAGCCAACAGCGTTCAGCGTAGCGCGCAGCTCCTCAGGACGGCGCTGGAGTCTGGTTCTTGGTCTTCTGTCGTCCTACAAGCGCGTTGGTCAGATGGTCCGGAGGCTCCATCCTCCATGTGCTGGTTCCAGACGGTGGCGAGCAAGACCAGTGCGCAATGACTGGGTCTGAGCGGGTATGTTCCGCCGTCTGCGCGATGGTTCCGTGTTCCGTGCGGGGAAAGTGAGAATGTTCTGTGGACTACACCTACAGGTCTGTGCTGCTCCTGTCCTCCGCGCTCAAGAACCGCGGCTGGTTCCGAGGTGGTGCAAAGCATCCGGACAGAACGTGAATCCAGTTTAGTTGGTGTCCGCATTTGGTTCTTCCCGGGAAAAGCGCTTTTCACTCACCGCTCCACGTCATCTGAGCCCGGACAGAACCGGAGCTGCTCCTGCTGGTTCGGGGCTCTGGTTTGGATCTAGTCCGACTGTATTTCTCACACTAGGCTAAAAGCAGGACATTTTTTAAAGGTGAATCAATTGAATGGGCGATTGCGTATTGCCATAAAATTATTTGGTTAATTAAAGCCTAAAATACCAAATGTTGGTTCCTACATGATCACGGGGAACACCGGGACCTGTGCAGGTCCTGAACAGAAGTACACACCTCCATTTTTGACTCACTCTGGAGCCACACGTTTGCACGTTCTTGCTCTGATCTTTGTGTGTTACATTCTCTGTATTGGCCATTGTTGGTAAAATATTTCGAAAATGAATCGCGGCTGCGTCTGGACAACAATCTGTTACTGCGCTGGAGTCGTACAGCGCGTCATTACAGGCAGGAGACGCGTTTCTCCCATGATGCATCTAGAATAGTTCGTTTGTCCATACTGTCTATGGTTTGGACCCGGGTTCGCGTTCACACCAGAGGAACCGCACCAAAGTTGGTCATTCAAGCGAACCGAGACCACCTCTTTTTTGAGGTCTCGTTCCGCTTGAGTTGGTTCGGGTCCGAGTCTGATTGACGCTTTCACACCAACGCAAACGAACCGAACTAACCACTTCTGGTTCGAATGGATCGTTTGGTGCAACAAATACTGTCGGTGTGAAAGCACTATACAGGTCAAGGCTCACTGATGAGCATCTTCAATCTATCCTGAGGATCTGCTTCCTCCTGCAAGCCAAATATCTCTCAGCTGTACAAGATGAAGCGTAGCCAGGTTTCAACCAGCAAGGAGTAGGCAAAAGAAGAAGAGTAGATGTATTAGTTTAAACTTACGTTCTGAATACATTTTCATGTTCTGAACTGTTATTAAAGATTAAGAAAGTGTGTTGCGTGTTGTTCTTTCTCTCTCCTTTTTTCCCGTGCAACAGCTATTTATCGAATACTCAATGCAGCCCAGCCTCACTCAGACTTTATCTAATGTGGCCCCCAGGTAATTTGAGTTTGAGACCCCTGATTTAGATGCAAAAAGTTCATTGTTTTAACTCCATTGTTTGGCTCTCGAGATGTAAATGCTCAAGACGCACTGCAGAAGCTTTGGAAGCATCTAGATGTGCAGCAGACTTAGAATATAAGTGAGTATAGGTAACTAGCCACCGTGTTCCAAATAGGAAGTAAGCATGCCAAAGCAGAGGTGCAGACAGGGAGGGGCAAGTGCCTTTAACAGCCTCGATCCTGATTGGCTATATGGTAACGCCTCAGATTTCCAAATATGGAACTTTGCTCCAGATAAGCCGCTATAACAGCTAGCTCTGATGAGCTTCATTTGGAGCTGAACGCTGTGGGTGACATCACATTCCCTTAGTCCACTTCTTTATACAGTCTATGATCTGAACGCAGCATGTTGCTCCTGTGTGGCACTTTTCATGACATGAAAGGGGATTTTTTTGCAGTTTGGTTCAAATGAACCAGTAATGACTAAAAGAAAAGCTGTAAACATTCATGTTAATTATGTTTAATGATTAAAATGTGAGCATCTCATTAGTGCTTGTTCAGATTTTGTGCTTATTTTTGTTGGCTTGGTCCTAACAACTGAACACGAGTTTGGCTGCTTGATGGTCCCTTCCTGGTGTGAACACGGTGCGGTGAGTGATGTTACTCCACAATCACACTGCCTGCTCCAAGAAATCATTAAAAGTGATGAGAGGAGCTTTTCCTGTATAAGTGGTGCTTTTGGTGCTTGGGCATAAAACTCACCACTGCTGTGGTCTTGGTCCCTGTACGAGACCCTCTGCATCTCTCTGTGACATAGGCGCAGATCAAACACCTGCAGGAAACCAGGGTTAGACCAGGTATAGATCAGGACTAGACTAAAGCAGGATTAAAGCAGGACTAATCTAAGACTAAACCACTAGTTGTTCTTCCCCAGATTCCAAACCTTGATGTAGGCTCCAGGATAAACTTTGTGCACAGCGCCCCCTGGTGTGCGTCCGGACTCACGGTCTAAGTAAAAGCTCTGGACGAAGACGGAGTGATCAGACAAACAGCGCATCCAAACATCTCCATCTCCACGGTGCTCCAGTTGAAGACCACGGCCAATGTGCAACCTGAGAGAGAACCAGGCCTGAACCAGGGCTGAACTCTGACAAGGATCAGGACTGAACTCTGACAAGTTTGGAGACCTCTGAACAACAGACTTTTAATCAGTACAAATAAAAACAATTCTACTCCAAACCATAATCACAATCCACAATCAAACAGAGTGGCTATGGATAAAGATAGATAAAGAAGAGAAGGAAAATACACCTGTTTTTTATAAATTTCATAAGGGAGGACCCACAGCCCCCCCTTTTCAAGATGTCCTTTCTAATACTGAGCCATCTCCCTTGTTAAAAAATAAAAAATCGCTCACTGAATCACAGGGCCTACCTGTCTCAGTGACAGGACCAGAACTGTCTCAGTGACAGGACCATACCTGGCTCAGTGACAGTGACAGGACCGTACCTGGCTCAGTGACAGGACCATACCTGGCTCTGTGGCTGGCATCAGTGCGCTGGACGTTGCTCAGTCGGCCCAAGCAGAAGCGGTCCCCTCCGGAGGGGTCCATGTATCCGTCCACAGTGATGACGGGAAAACCTGCCGGAGCTTTGAACACTTCCCCCACCCTCACGTCCTGCTCCAGGTACGAGATGGAGCACCAGAAGTCCAGCCCTGAAACAGAGAACCAACATCATGATTGTGTAAGAGGGTCCTGCCTAAACCAGCTCAAACCGGGAATATAGGACTTGGGTCAGTACCTGGGTGGCTGGACACAGGCGGTGGATAGGGGGCGTTGTTCTGCTGATGTGACCCTGAAACAGATGTTCATATAAAGTGTCTTAAACCTAAACCTGCATTATAAAAGAATAACATCATCACTTACAGTAGTGGTTATTGGCTGGCGGGTGGTGATGTAATGGATATGGGCCCCTCCCACTTTGAGACTGTGGACCAATTGGGCTGTAGGCTGCCGGGCTGACACTCGACCAGGATTCTGTAAAGAAAAACAAGGACCAAATCAGGACTAAACCAGGACTACACCTGAACTTGAACTAAAACTGAACCAGGACTGAACTAAGAACCAAAATCAGAACACAAAATCTATGCCAGGAGTGAACAAGGACTAAACTATCTAAATTAGACACTATACTGCAAATCTAAACAGGACTAAACTATATATACTATTGTGTATGTATGTATATATATATATACATATATATATATATATATATATATATAATTTGTATTATACCCCCTCTTTAAACTGAACCTCAGCTGGTCTCTGATCTGAACTTAATCTAAACCTGTGTTGGTCTGTCCGGTGTGTGGACTGGTCTCAGGTCCAGTCTCTGGTCCGGTCTCAGGCCCAGCGCTGCTGTAGTCTGGACTCGGGGCATGGGGAGCAGGGGGGCTCTGGCCTGGACTCATGTGGATTAGACCCTGGACCTCGATTCCTGGACTGCAGCCAGCGCCCCCTGGAGGAGAGCGGCAGAGTCACACCTGTGCTCAGAGGATGGGGACAGGGTCAGGAGGGGTCAGAGACTCACCTGCAGGGGATAGGTGCATGCTGGGATACATGGAGAGGGGGCGGGCTTGGTAGGGGTCTGGGGGTGGAGTCAGGTCCAGGTGAAGACAGTCCTGCACCAGCTCCTCCTTAATGGTTGTCTGAGGACCTGAAAGAGAACAGGCACAGTGACAGACCCAGATCTTTGGTGCGCCCCCTAGTGGAGCGTAAGAGCATGTTTGAGCGCGGCTCAGTGGAAGGGCATCACAGTGGTTTGGGACAGTTCATCCATGGGGATCAGAATGAGGAACAATTTGAACTGTTGCCATAACAACCAACAATTTGAAACAAAATATTATATCTTTTGTATGGCAAAAAGTCCTCCAAATGTCGCCTATAACAGCTCTGACCCACAGCTAGGTAAAGAGCGGACATTTTATGACACTTATAACTCTTTATTGCATTGTATTACACGGATGCTCCGTGCACCGATTCTGATTTCGAATATCAGTGCCGATTCTTGAAAAAACTGACGTATCGGGAATCGATTTCATGATAACGGTTAAATCCATATCCTGAGCCTTTAATTGGATGTAACAAGACTATTTACAGAGTGTATACATAACTGGACATAGTTAATGCTCTAGATGACACGTTCCAAATAGGAGGAGGATCACATGGAGGCTCTTCTGGCTCCTTCTGACTCTGGCTCCTATTGACTTACATTGGAATGCTGTGGCCCCTCTCTCTGGAACTGCTGCTGTGAGCCTCGTTATTTTGGTCTTAAAATGTGCACGGGCACTCTGTGGGACTGGTAGTACCTGTGATACCCGTGGGCGCGGGCACTCTGCGGGAGTGGTAGTACCTGTGATACCCGTGGGCCCGGGCACTCTGCGGGAGTGGTAGTACCTGTGATACCCGTGGGCCCGGGCACTCTGCGGGAGTGGTAGTACCTGTGATACCCGTGGGCGCGGGCACTCTGTCGTAGTGGTATGGGTTGACGCAGACGCTGTCGTACTTGAGGTCGAAGGCGTATCGACAGAAGGCGGCGTGTTTGAGCTCATTTTTGTGCAGGTCGGGCCATCGCCACAGACGTGCATAGATCACGTGAGGGAAGCCTTTACGCCCTGCCACCTGCACCAAGACAAACAGAGAGGTGTCACTCCCCAGTCTGAATCAGATGCTCCTGTCACTGTCACTATGGCAACACACACACAGACAAAATACATGTATTATGCTATTTGTATCATTCTTTAACAGCACATTTGAGTGCTCACAAGCTCAAGTGCAGACAAACATGCGTAGTAGTGTAGTAGTAATAGTAGTAGTAATAGTAGTGGTAATAGTAGTGGTAGTCATACTGTAGAGTCTCATAACCTTTAAATGTAAAATAGTCTGTATAAATCTAAAATAGAGAGATTAAAAGAGAGACCAGTGAGTTCTGAGGCCAAGGCTGCATCATTGAGACTAAACACAAGAGAGAGGGAGGAGAAAGAGGAAGGGAGAAGAGAGAGGAGAGGCAGGGAGGAGAAATAGGAGGGAGAGAGGAGAGGGAGGGAGGGAGGAGGAATGGGAGGAGGAAGGAGAGGGAGGAGGAAGAAGGGAGAGAGGAGAGAGAAGGGTTGGGAAAGAGGGAGGAAGGGTGTTTTTTATTTTTCTAAGCGTCACAGAATATAACCAATATGGATATTAGTCTTTGATCTTAAGCTAATTATAAATGACTCCACTTGTCAGCTAATCAAATGTCATGCTAATTAAAGGTTTGGGAGGGCATCTGACATACTAGAAAATAGATGTGTGTCAGATGCCCTCCCCTCCTCCTGTATTTCTGTAGTGTTAGACTGAGATGAGGGCAGGTCAAATGTCGCGTGTCTAGTGTGTAATCTGCAGATGTTGTGGTGTGTCAGATGCCCTCCCAGATGTTACGGTGGCTGGAGAAATACAGTGAGAGAATGGACATTGTCACTGATGGAAATTATCAGGGGAAAAATAGCTTCTGCTGTTTCTGAAAATACCAAATAACAGAAAAAGAAAACAAAACAGAAAAGTCAAAAAAACTTAAGCTTAAAAGTGAGACTCCAACAGCTGCACTCAGAGCCCCGCCTCTTTCCTGTGTCCCAGACAAAACAAGGCCCAGACAGAGACCAGGACTGAACCTGGACTAAACCAGGACTGAACCAGGACTGAACCAGGACTAAACCAGGACTAAACCAGGACTGAACTGGCACTGGACTAGGTTTACACATAAATTTAAAGGTGCAGTATATAACTTTCTGGAGGTGGCTTGTCACCTACATGAAAGTTAAAACCATACTTTTCTCCATAGAGACAGATACATTTTATGCCATAATGTGGAATATTATAGCCAAAAGAACAATATCTTCCATGGAAACATGCAGGAGACCCACCTCCAGGCTAAATAAGAGTCAAGTTTGTGGAGATGTAAACCCGTTCACAGTAAGGCTCAAATTTTCAGTGTAATAAACAACTAAAAAAAAAAAAACATCCTTGTATTTCAGCCTATTTTTTAACCACGTCTCCCAAACAGTTGATGTAAGAGTGTGGGTGGATGTCTGGTGCCCCCTGCTGGTCACAGTCAGAAACATCATTAGCTGCACTTACATTAGCCACATGAAGCTAAGGTGAGGTTTTATTCTTCCCAAACAGTGCACAGCATAAGCTCCAACCTCAACTGCTAACCCCATTCATCAAATATTAGAAGTAACACAGCTTAAAGAGGTCTAAACTATAGCAGGTTTACTACACAAGACCTCACAGAGACACAGGGAGGGCATCTGACACAGGGAGGGCATCTGACACAAAGAGAGCATCTGACACACAGAGAGCATCTGACACACAGAGAGCATCTGACACACAGAGAGCAACTGACACACAGAGAGCATCTGACACACAGAGAGCAACTGACACACAGAGAGCAACTGACACACAGAGAGCATCTGACACACAGAGAGCAACTGACACACAGAGAGCAACTGACACACAGAGAGCAACTGACACACAGAGAGCAACTGACACACAGAGAGCAACTGACACAGAGAGCATCTGACCTTTAATGTGTGTTCACGTAAATGAAAAATGAACCTGGAACTAAATCAGGACTAAACCAGGACCATACTAAGACTAAACCAGGACTTGAACAGGACCAAACCAAGTCTATATCAGACTCACACCAAGACTGAACCATGGCTAAACCAGGACAGAATTGGGATTGAACCAGGACCAAGAACAAAGCCAAACCAGGACTAAACAAGGACTAAACCAGGACCAAATCAAGTCTACCTTAGGACTAAACTGGGCTGAAACCAGGACTGGATCAGGACTAAATAAGGACTGAACCAGGCCATGTGATGCCAGTTTTAGGTCACAGCAGCAGATCTGTGTTCGATAAATCAAATCACTCTAATCTGGGTCTGAGGCGGGGTTCTTACCTGCAGTCTTCCATCCAGGGTCCTCTGTATGGTCACGCAGAGTCCAGGCTGGCGCCCCCTGGTGGTGACGGCGGTGACCAGCGCGTCCAGCTCCTCTCTCCTCTCTCTCAGTTTACGCACCAGGCTCTCGATTGCCCGTCGTGCAAACCCCTCGCTCTCCCCTGGCTGGCACAGGCGCAGCAGGCTGTGCACCGCGCTGTGGACCGGGTCTGACCCAAGACCCGGGCTGGCCCCAGAGCCGGGACTAAACCCAGTGCCAGGACCTGACCCAGAACCAGGACTAAACCCAGAGCCAGGACTAAAGCCGAGGTCTGAGGCAGGAGCGGCATCCGACAGAGACATGATCTCCTCTGGAACAAACAACCATCATGAGCTGGACACACGCACTCCAGTACCACAGCCGCCATGGGGCAGACTGACTCACACATGGCTGCCAATCTGCACCTACAGCGTCTCTGGACAGTACCAGTAACACAGTCAGTAACACAATAGGCAAGGAGGCAAGGATGCTGATGTGTCTTGCTCAAGAGCACAACAGCAGCAAAAAGCCAAGTAACAGGAATTGAACCACAGCTGTCCTTAGACTCCAGACATCCTCCTGGTGAGACTCAAGAGACTCTGCTCCTCCTCACCAGGACTAAATACATATGAAATACATATGAAATACATGTGAAATACATGTGAAATACATGTGCAATACGTAACAGCACTCTTTAGGACTAAACCAGGACTAAACAGGGTCCAGTTCTGGACCAAGACTAAACCAGGACTAATCCAAACCTGAGCATTAGTGAAATAGGCTGTCTGACCCATAGCAGATCTGAAACAGAACCACAAGTTTACAGCGGGTGACACGAGGCTAACCGAGGTAAACCCACAGACTCTCCGGTCCCTGTGTTCGGATGGAAATGCACACGGACCGTAAAATGCCGCTCCCGGGTCTGCGCCGGGACTAAACTCGAGCCAGATCAACAGTTGTCACGGATCGTACCTGAGCCTCGGAAGCCCGCGGGCAGAGCGGCTGTCTGTGCCGGGGATGAGCGCTCGTGTCCGGGCAGAGCTGGTGCGTCAGACCGCTGAGGGCTCCGGCTCTGGCTCCGCTCTGTCTCCGTGTCTGTGTCTCCGTGCGCGCGTGTGTGTGTGTGCGTGCGTGTGTGCGTCTGTATCTCTGTGCGTGTGTGTGCGTACGTGCGTGTGCGTGCGTGTGTGTCTGCAGCGCGTGCATGTCTCAGACGCTCGGGTCACGCGCCCAGACGCCAGACATAACAGGAAGTGAGGCAACTCCAGCACGCGCTAAAAATAATAGAAAATAAAAGTGCTCCTCAGAAATGAATCATGTGTGCGCCTCCAGGCGGAGAACAGCGGGACTACGGCTCATGACACACTGGCTGGAACAGTGCAGTGTGTTATTCCGCAGTGTGTGGACTAGTGGAGTTAGATTTACGCTCTATGGACGTTTGAAGAAGAAGAAGAAGAAGAAGAAGAAGACCCGTGGACAGGGCAGACGTGGGACACAGGGCTAATGCTTTAATAAGTGGAATACTGAAGCAAGACCAAAACCAACTGAACTCTGCATGAACTTCATGTAGAGGGATTAGATTTTCAGAATTAAAAACCTGGACACACCTGGGTTGGGATGGTTGGTATAAATGTAATCGTGAAAAGAGTAAAATTGTCATTTTTTTTTTTTTTTTTTTATCTTATGGGTCATTTTCAAGCATCGTTTCTATATTTTAGCTAAACAGATGACAGTATATCAACATATTCTCCTCTTTACTGTTGGTGGGAATCAGATCAAATTGGTCAGAAATGGGGACAACTGGGACATTTCTTCTATAAAACTGGGACAAATCACTGGTTTTGTATAAATCTGTTGGGTCAGGGGACACAGGGCTCAAAATTGGGACTGTCTCGGGTAAATAGGGACGTCTGGCCACGCTAAATATATGGAGACTATAGGGCACAGGCGGATCCTTATTAAATAATTACACTACATGTAAAAGTCACTGCCTCTACTAAAAAAAAAGCACTTAACAATGGCGCAGTCTAAGCTCCATGTCCACGAGTCTTGTCTCTTCTGTAAGCAGGGCAGGCCCTGGTCAGGACATGGATGGTAGACCGCTGCAGATACCAGTTGCCACAGAGGCAACAGGGGCTATAGTGCAAACTGTTGTTGTGTCCTTCGACAAGACACTTCCCCCACATTACCTTGTATGAATGTGACGTATACATGTTAGTGGTGGGAGGGGCCAGTGGTGCAGGTTGGAAGCCTCGCTTCTGTCCATCTGTCCCAAGGCAGCTGAGTGAAAGCACTATTAAACACTTTGGGTATCTGGAAAGGTTTAGATGAAAGAACATTACTTCTCAACATTTAATACAACATAAAATACAACAAGCAAAAACATTCTTTTTAATAGTCATTGCTCTGTTTGTATTAGGCTGAGGAGTACCGCTAAGTACTAAGTAAGTAAGCTTACTTTAAAATGAAGCAGGCTTGGAGTAAAAGTAGAGAAGGATCTGAGTACTTCTATTACTGCACAGAAATTAGTTACTTGGCAAAAATAACTTTGTAGGGTCTGATTATGTCACTGATGCTAAATATCTTACAAAATATATTGTAGATTCTGTGGTGTTACCTGAGACTCAATTATTGCTCCTTTGCAGCTGATGTCATCAACATTCTGTTAAATACAAGTATAGACACTCATAACTGGTGCTAGGCTACTTCAGTGACCACAGAAGATGAGACAAAGCCTGCACTCTTCCTTCTAACAATATTTGAGTGAGTGGTCCTGGGGTCAGATCATGGTTCTGTCTGTGCCACTTCCATGTAAACCTTCCGCCCACTGATTGGTTGGCCAATCCAAAAGTGAGCTACATCATATAAGTTTGAGCCATTCCGTAGCTTGAATCAGGAATATGAAATTAAACACTAACTGAAGGCACTGCTCTGTCTGAGGCTTTGTTAGACTGATCTGAGTTTTGTTTTAACACAGGCTGAACAGAATTAACTGACTTATCTGGAATGACAACAGGTGAGCTGAACTGTGCTGTTAAATAAGTCCCTCACCAAAACAAATACTGAACATTCTGTGATAGACATACATGCAGATCACCCCCGGCATGATGTCACTGCAAAATATCAATGCGAGAAAATGTAAGGTGAGTCACAAAAGCAAAAAAAAACAAAACGTGTATATCACAAGACAAAGTTTCACGTACACCTCCAAGACTTTAATCAGGTCAAGTCAAACTGGGAGCAGAGGAACCAAAATGTTTCTTCTCATTTCAAGGGCCCATATTTCTCTGTTATCTGTCTGATCTATAGTATAATCCTCATCCCAAACATATCTGGAGGTGTGTGTTAGGCTAACTTCTTCTTTCAAGTAGAAAACACGCCCTCCACCTTGTGATGTCATGATGTGGTGATACAGGAAGTGCCCCACAGAGTTTTAAACTCCATACAACTTTACTAAAATCATTTGAACTAGAGGTAAAAGGAGCTGTTAATTTGAAAACTACTGCTTCATGACATCACAAGGTAAAACAGAGCATTCTGAGCTTTGGAGATGTAGACAGACTCATAATAAAGAGTTATAGTCATTCAAATGTGTGTAAATGAAACTAAACACAACTCCAGGTCTGTTTTTGAGGAAATAATGTTACTATAGAGCTCCTGCACCCATGTGACAAAATCTGACAGGGGCGCAGTGGCAGTGGTGGATCATGGGTAATAAACAGCACCAAGTCGCTTTTGGAGTATTTTTGTCATTAAATAAAATTGTAGACAATGATTTATCTTCAAACTACGCAATCAGATTAAACATGAGTGACCCTTGTACCTGCATGGGTGTGATTTTTAAGTGAACAGATTGCACAGATTTTACCTTAACTCTGCAATATTTGGACAAGTTCTGTAGCTATATAAATTGAATAATCTATTAAGGAGACAGAAAGAGCAGACTGACGTGATATGTCCCCAAACACTTTTTGCTAAACACTGTTCATATGTTTAACTTGAATGACTGCTTAAAAGTGTGGACTGTAGAAAATAAAATCACAAACTAAAGTTAAGCAACCTGGTGAAACATCTCATTTCTCTTTCCTCGCTTCCTTCTCCTTGAGTCCTCTCCTCAGTTATGCAGGAAATGGGTGAGGAAGTCCTGCTGACAGAGGAGACACAGTGAAGAAAGAGGATATAACTTCTCACTGAGACCAATAAAGTTAGATTTTTTTATCTGATGCCTGCCTCCTGAAGCCTTCCTCATGTTTACTCCTTCATGCCATGGTTTTCTTTGGGGCAGCACTTAATATGACACATTTGATTGACAACTGAAAAATGGAGGAACGAGGAGTGGAATCAAGGAGAAGGAAACAAGGAAAGAGGAGCAGAGGAGAAAGACCGAAATGACTCTGTAGAGAGACTATAAGGAGACTAAGGATTATTTTCTAATATTATTTCTAATATTTTATAATATTACTATTCCAGGACTTTTAAATGAATGACAGATCAGCATCTTTGGTTTCAGATAAATGTGTTGGAACATATTTTATTGTCAAATTCAGCATTATGTAACATGTCAATCATCCTTTAGTTGTGTAGATGTGACAATACAAACTCCTCACTGTTTGATTCTTTTATCTGATGTCTGCCTCCTGAATACTCACTCAGGTTTCCTGTGGTTTCCTTCCCTTGTCTCCTCTAAGCTTTGGGACACCACTTAATACCACTTTGATTGACAGCTGAGAATCGGGGAGAAGGAAACGAGAAAAGAGAAATGAGATGCACCCACGGAGAAGGAAGCAAGGACAGAAAAATGAGATGCAGATCCATCACGTGGCTGCAGCATGGATCTATAATAAAAACTTTTTTTATTTTATGATTTATATATTTTTTTTATTATTATTTACTTATTTATGATTTATTTTTATATTATGATTTATGATTTTATGATAGTTCTATGGGCTGCAGGAGCTGTATAACATGGTTGGCTTAAAGCGCACAAGAGTAATACTGGACTCATAGACCGTATATATGATGATTGGACCTTTAAACAGTAAATCACTTTTGACCCCTACTTTTTCAGTACTAAGAAACAAAGGGCCTGCTCACATACTATATTTATGATTATTATAACATTATAGCGAGACATATGTAGTGTTAGCAGACGTATTTACCCGAAACAGTCCCAGTTTTGAGCCCCGTGTCCCCTGTCCCAGCAGATTTATACAAAACTATTGATTTGTCCCAGTTTTATACAAGAAATGTCCCAGGTGGCTCCATTTTTGACCAATCTGATCAAAAATGTAATTTGTTTAGGTAAAATACAGAAAAGCTGCTTAAAAATGACCAAAACACAGAGAAACACAGAGAGAAACACAGAGTATACTGACTCACATTAGAGCTGAGTGCAGAACAATTCTCCTTAATTCCACTCATTTCACAGTTTTATTATTACCAACCAACCATAAACCAGGAATGTCCCAGTTTTTGGTTTTGAAAATCTGGTCACCCTAAACATACAGGACTCTCACTAATTACTAAAGTATTGTAAAGTGTGGTAAAGTAAATTACAATAGTTATTACTAAAGTATGGTGTGAAAAATATTCTGGCTTTCACAAATATGAAAAGTTAGGACTGTTGGCAAAGTAAAATATTAGGTCTTTTGAATCATGAATAGATCTGAATAGCCAATTCTCAAATTCTCAAATTCAAGACCCTTTGAAAAACTGTAAACAAAAACATTGTACATTTCTGGATTGGAGGCAGATGGAGGCAAAAGTGAAGTGGAACATAATGCAACTTTAATGGGATAACTAGGATTAATTTCAGAATATCACAAATGATGAAAAATCAAGGACAATTTGGAAAATGAAACCCACTCAGACACATGTGAATGAAATCAGAGCCCAGTTTAAAAACACTTACAATTGTGTTTTACATTATTATTTTTTTATTATTTGACAAGAGATTATCATGCACTAAGCAGTTTTACAAAGGCAAAATCCACATTTTGAAGTTTTACTGCACAAATCCTTACAGAAATGTTGAGCCCACAACAGTTTTTCACTTCATCTACAGATATATTACACATTTCATCATAAATTATACTATCTGTGAAGCCTAAATATTGTTTTAGGGTTAGAAAACTGTATTTTTTCCATCTTCCATTCCATTATCTTTTCCATTTTCTGAACAGAGACGCAAAGTAAATACGATTTATACCTTGAAAATTCTAAATTGTTGCTTATTTTTTGTTATAATGTCATTAAACCGTTAGCATTTAGGTTTGTTTGTCAGTTAATCATTGTAAATATATTATGTTAGCTTAATTTTGACTCCAGTTATCTTCAGTCCTGAATTTTGAACATTCTGATGACATTTAAGGATCTGTAAGATTTTATTTTACACATATTAGATTTTCACACTCATTGTACAACTTAAGTAACTGTAACTTACTTCTCAGCTTTAGTCTCTGTTATACTAAATACTATTCATTTATTCAATATTAATTTCTATTAGGGACGGGCACGTTAACGCGTTAATTTTGTGTTAACTAATTAATTCATTATCGCCAACAATTATTTTAACACCGTTAACGCAGTTTTTATTATTTATTTTTATTGTAAACGTCTGTTTCTCACTGGCTTTTATTTTGAAAAGTCCACTGCGAGCGTTTCTTTAAGTTTGATGTCTTTTCTTTACACTTTTTTTCTGACCACGTGAGATGCAACATGTCCGAGCCTCCATGGTCCGAGGACTCGACCCGGCCGCGGGCTTTGAGCTTTTGAGCTTATAACAATGATCTAGAAATTATTACTAGTAGTAATGTTTATTACTCACTGAATAAAAAATATTTATATTAATAATATAAATATAATATAAATATTTTATACCTTGAAGGCTCTGAGGGTTCAACTCTGAAAGAAATGCTGTTTGCACAACAAATGTTTGGCTCTTTCATTTACATTTCCAATAAAAGAGCGCTATACTCTACTTTTTAATTCATTAATTGGTTTTGCGTATAACATGTGATTAATCGCGATTAATCGCACTCGAACTCATGCGATTAATATTTTTTTATTTTTGCCCAGCCCTAATTTCTATATCTAATGAAGTGACTTCACCTTGATCTTCTGTTGTAGTTTTCCTCCGGAGAGCGGCTGAGCTCAGAGCTGCGCTCAAGCCTCCGTCACTTTTTGGAACTTTAGCTCTAAAAACCTAACTATTCTGGGTTATTCGGACATATTCTTCTCCTGACACATTTCTTAGGCTTTAATACTGACGCGGAGTTTGTTTGATCGGCCTCATTTTCTGGACAGGAAGTTTGGACAGAAAAAACTGCTAGCGGCTAACGGTGAGGCTAACGCAAAGCTAACGCAAAGCTAACGCAAAGCTAACGCAAAGCTAACAGCGACCTCCTGATAAAGGGGAGTCTACAGCGTTTAGGACATTTTCCTGTTATTTTCCTGTACACACACGTAAGACTACAATGTTTTATCTGGGTGAATACGGAGATAATCATTGGACAAAAAAACACTAAAAAGCTTTGCCCTGCATTTGCCCAGCCTTGTCCTTGACCGTCACCTTGAAATGGACCGTGTGTTTGGACTTTTTACAAGTATTTACTTCTTGTGTTTTGCTCAGTAGTTGTTAGATCCACATTTCTGCTGTTAAGTGCACTCTGTGAATGTCAGATTCATTTACAGAAATGTCTGATATATATGTGAAACCTGCCGAGCTCAGACCAGAGCAGAGCAGCGGAAATGTGTGCATTTGTTCCTCCGTGTGGAGCAGCTAGGCACCGGGTTTAGGACTGAGTTTATCACTCTGGATCACCCTGGTCCGGGACAGCTCCAGTTTTGAGCCCTGTGTCCCCTGTCCCAGGAGATTTGTCCAAAACCTGTTATTTGTCACAGTTTTATACAAGAAATGTCCCAGGTATCTCTATTTTTGACCAGTTTGATCTTTGAAAAGTAAAGAGAGGCATAAATTGTCATTTGTTTTGGTAAAATCCAGAAATTTTGCTTAAAAATGATCAAAACAAAGAAAATGTGACTATACTGATTCATGTTAGAGCCGAGTGCAGAACAGTTTTCCTTAATTCCGCACTCGTTTCACGATTTTATTATTGCCAACCAACCCAAACCAGGGATGTCCTAGTTTTTTATTTTGAAAATCTTGGCACCTTAGTCCTGAGTTCATTCCTGGTCTCATTCAGGTTAAGGTACACTTTTATTGTCCCTGTAGAGAAATTTATCCTCTGCTTTTGACTTATCCTTCAGTACTGCTGGGCGACCCTCTCAGGAGCAGTGGGCACAGCAGTCGTGCCTGTGGACCCATCTCTGTGATCTTGTTGCTAGGCTTGGTTAACATTCTTAGCTGGAGGATTGTATGGTGCATGTTTTGAGTTGGTTCAGTCTCTCAGTCCTTTATTCCTTTCTTTGGTTTTATATTTAGATTTTTGGTTCTAGACTGGACTTAGTTTGAGCTGTCCTCACTGTGAATGTGGCCTGAGACACAAAGACATGGAGAAGAAGCCGGACCTACTGTATCTTGAGCAGAAGACCACACAGTCACTCCATAACCGGTGAGACATGTCCACATATGACATGTGAAGTGTCCCAGTCAATACACACGAAAGGTTAATGGTCTCTGTCAACTCGCACACAGACAGGTGAAGTGTCTCTTGTCCCTCTGCTGCAGGTTCTCTGAGGTCTTGTTGGAGCAGATGACTCAGAGGAAGGTTCTGTTTAAGGGGAATAAAAAGCTGATGTTTCTGCGCCCCCAGAACATCCCCAGATCTCAGGTCAGTGCTTTACGTCTGTGGAACATTTATGCCCAGATTCAGAATGAAAAACTTGGTGAATAGCTTTAATATTGTTTATTTTAACAGAATGTTGAGTGATTGGACTTCATTTCTTTAAAATAGACTGTTTTCAGTTTTGAGCCGTTACAGATATCCAATAGATGTCTAAAAGTTTCACCAGCTCACATTTCACTTTTGTTAAAAAAAAAAACATGTATTATCTGGGAGACTGATTTATTTTGGGGTGACCATAGCTCAGGTGGTAGTGTCTGCGTATACTTGTGTGTGTTTGTGTGCGCGTGTGTGTGTGTTTGTGTGTGTGTGTGTGTGTGTGTGTGTTTGTGTGTGTGTGTGTGTGCGTGTGTGCGTGTGTGCGTGAATGGATGAGTGGTTCCTTGTTGTAAAGCGCTTTGAGTAGAAAAGAACTTTATTAAAATGTGACCATTTATTTTGCAGCTGATGTCATTCTCTGGGGATGTGATGCTAACTGTAAGCACTGCTCTATCTAAGTCCCACTCCAATAAAATTACAGTCACAAGCTAGCAAGCATTAGTCAACAGATTTTTCATTTGGTCACTTTCACCTTTCTGATGAAAATTAATCCTGAAAATGTGATTTCAGATGGTCTTAAAACTATTTTTTGACAGTGTTTGTTAATCCATGCATTGTGTCCATGGTAACTGCTGAAAGTATCAATAAAATAATGAGTACCTAATGTCTCTTCTGTTTCCAGTGTTCCTCATGGGTGTGCTCAAAAAGACAAACTTACTGTGATTAAAAACAGTGTCATCATTTGTAAATGTGCACAAGCTCCTGTGGATTCTCTCTTTCCTGTAGGGGACCTCTCCAAAGGGCAGTGTCTGGACTCGGATTGGCTGGAAGAGTCCCTGGAAGCGTGGTGTCTGGAACTTTAGGAACAAATACCAACATGGCATCCGCTTTAACCCTGTCCACAAAACCGGCTTCAACTCTGTCCCCAGGAGCAGGTTTAGCTCTGCCCCCAGGAGCAGGTTTCTCTCGGTGCCAAAGTCTCAGTTCAGCCTCGGCCCAAAAAGTGAGTTTCACTGTGAAACATTCTACATTTGATTTAATGTTTTTTCCTCACTGTGGCCACAAGAGGGCAGAGCTGCTTCACACGAACACTGTTTTATTTGCTCACCTGTAGCGGGCACTCTGAGAGGAGTCCTGAGGAGGAGACTTCAGGGACGCGTTCGTTTGTTTAAAGGTTTGTTGTTTACTCATTTACCCAGCATGCACCTGTGGATACACCTCAAAGCCCTTCAAAATGCCCACAATGCGCTGCAAGTTTTTAGTGCATGTCCTTCTAACATCATTTAAGCAGTAAAAAAGAGTTTTATATATAAAAAAGATCTACTGTACTAGTCCATTGCAGAAAATTTGTTCAATAATGTTTCTATAATTGTTCAATAATGTCTCTCATTTTACAAAATCAAACCCATATATTATATAGACTCATGACAGAGTGAAAGATTTCTTGAATTTTGATGATTATGGCTTACAGATAATCATAAAACAAAATTCAGTGTCTCTGAAAATTTGAATCAGATCAATAGAAAATGATATTTTGAACAGAAATGTCAGGCTTTTGAAAAGTTTGTTTCTATGCACTCAATACTTGGCTGGGCTTTTGTCATGAATAACTGCATCAGTGCACCGTGGCATAGAGGAAATCACCCTGTGCCACACACAGTGTGAAGCCCAGGTCGCTTCGATAGCAGCCTTCAGGTCATCTGCATGGTGGCTCTGGTGTCTCTCATCGTCCTCTTGACAATATCCTTGAGATTCTCTGTGGGAGTCACGTCAGGTGAGTTTGCAGGCCAGTCAGGCAGAGTAATGCCTCTAAAATGTCCTGGTAGATGTGTTGACTGTGGACTTCAGAAAACCCAGTGGAGCAACACCAGCAAATGACATGGCAGCCCAAATCATCACTGACTGTGGAAACTTCACACTGAACTTCAAACAACATGGATTCTGTGCCTCTCCACTCGTCCTCCAGACTCTGGGACCTTGATTTCCAAAAGATATGCAAAATGTACTTTAATCTTAAAAGAGACTTTGGACCACTGAGCACCAGTCCAGACTCCTCTGACATCGTCTCATGTTGTGTCATGTGCCTTTTCCTCCCACACTTTTTTCTTCCACTCAGGTTTCTCTGAATCAGCTTGGACAGAGCACTCTGAACAACCACCTTATTTAGCAGTAACCTTTTGTGACTTTCTCCTTTCCTTGTGGAGGGTGACAGTGATTGTCTTCTTGACATCTGTCCAATCAGGAGCTTTCCCCATGATTCTGTCGCCCACTGACCCAGACTGAGACAATTTAAAGGCTCAGGAAACCTTTGCAGGTGTTTTGAGCTAGTTAGCTGATTAAGATGTGACTCCATGACTTCTCAATATTGAACTTTTTCACAATATTTAAAATTTCTGAGACACAGAATGTTGGCTTTTCATGATCATGTATCTATCTAATATATGGATTTGACTTGCTAGTATATAACATAATTATGTGATCATGCTTAACAGGACAGATGTGTCCCTTTAAGCAAAATATTTAGACTTATTCCAAGTCCCTGATCGTTCACATTACGGCAGCCTGGTTAGTCGTAGGTTAGGTCTGTATAGAATTAGAGTGTAGCATCTATCCCACTAGCCATCACTTTCCAAATGGCATTAGCACGATTCTGGCTCCATAGAGTTTGGTTCCAGTTCACTTTTTATTGAGAAGGTATGGCCCAAGATATCAACATTAATAACAGACCTATCAGCTGCCTTTTTTCCCCAAGGTCGCTCCTGCTAGCATTAGCAACACGTGTGAATGACAGTGTGCGGGTGGGAGGGAGGGGCCGTGTACCTTCAACAGCCTCACTCCTGATTGGCACTTTGTTGCTATGATACTTGTGGTCAGAATTCCAAATATGGAACTGTGCCCCAGAATAGCCCCTGTAACTGAGCCTGAGCTTCATTTGGGGCTGAGCAGTGTGGGCGATGTCGTTCTCCTTCAGGAGCACGTGTTTATACAGTCTGTGGAATAGCCCCGCCCAGAATCCCATTCAGTTCAATGGAGACTTGAGGAAGAGTTAGGCTGTTAAAATTTTATATGAAGTAGTGATGATTTGTGTAAAATGTCCAATGTTGATGAGACCAACACGTCACTGCACTGATTCTCTGGAGTCCAGATAGAACGTGTTTCCTGTGAGATCTACCCCATGTACAATAATACAACCCCAGTGACCACGACGCCCACGGACACTTCCCCAATAAGGTGAATGGAGTTTGGAGGAAGAGCCCTGGGAAATGATTGTTTATACTCCAATTAATGTGCCCATATTTGGAAATGACCTCATTTGGCCCCTCACATTATGTCGTTTATAATTTCTACAACAAGTCTCTGATGTCTCTCAAATATGTGATCCTTTTGTGTTCCAGCAAAGTCTGTGCAGAGCCGTCGATGGGCGGGACCAAAGGGGAGGAGCCTGCAGAAAAAGGCAGTGCCCTCTAAGAAGCAGCTGGACGCGGAACTGGACCATTACATGTCCAAGACCAAGAGCCGTTTGGACGCAGATCTGGACCGATACATGTCCCTATCTCGCAATCGACTCGACGCTCAGCTCGATGAGTATATGGCCATGGCAGGAGACGGCTCCCTATGGCAGTGACACAGGTGCAGCTGAACCAGGACTGAACCACGAGAACTGAACCAGGACTAAAACATGACTAAACCAGGAGGACTAAACCACTGACTAAGCAAGGACTAAACGAGGACCAAGTCATGACTTTTTCTCTCAGGGCAGGTGTGTGTTTCATTTAAGGGGTTTTTATTTTCAGTTTTTTATGTTACGCATGTACGCATTTATGTGCAGTCTGGTTCTGTTGTTCCTGTTTGATTCTCTAACCTGCTTCATTTACTTCTGATGCCCTCCCATGCCCTTTCGTTTTGGGTTTGAGACACAAGGACCTTAAACCTCAGTGGTGTTCAAACTTCAGTTTTATTTCAACAGGAAACTCTTTGGTTTTTGGTCAGTTGTCACTCAATTGTACTTTAACCTCCCAGATAGAAAGATGTGGAAGCACTTTGAGTTCATATTTTGAGTTCATATTAAACCAGGAGACTATTGTTTTAGGTTGAGCACTTTTCAAATGAATAAATCATAAATGTGTAAAAGACAAAAGAAAAATTGTGAAGTTTAAGTTTTTCTGGGGAATGTTCAGATTCAAATTTGTCTGTTTTAAAATAAACCTGTTGTAATTTACCCCAGTCACTGTGATTTTGTTAATCTGGATTCTGTTAATGCGGCTGTGCTTCGGATTCTCTGCAGTCTCACATTTATTCCAGTAAAGTTTTAAATCAGACCTATTGTGCTTGTCTGCTCTTATCTATGACATCCATGGATTATTATAATTTGACATTTTAAATCTCAATATTAATCTAAAACAAATTAATAAAAGAAGCAATTGTGCTGACTTCGACGTTAGAAAATTGTGGTGTTCAAGAGGTGTGTGCAAAAATATCAAAATATCAAGACATTGTATTGTTTGATGTGATACAGTATCAATATCGTGGACTGCTGTATCAATATATTGCCAAGAGTATTTTTTGGTATATTTTACTAAATTATTTTGCTACAGTTACAGTTTTGTTGTTTGTTTAGAGAAAGAAAACTAATTTATGCAACACATTTGACATTTTCACTGTTTTGATGATTAAAATGTTTGTGCACAAGAAGTGGTTTAACAAAGACTTTTAGAATCACAGACATGATTTAACCTTTATTTTTTATTGAACAGTATCGAATCGATTTGAAATATATCTTATCTAATTGAAAGTGTACTTTATTAGGATATGTATCGTATCGTGGCCTATGTAGTGAGGTATGTATCTTATTGGCAACCTCTTAATGATAGCCATCCCTAGTGTCCAGTTGGAGCTGATGTTGCCATAAACGCACACACTAAACACACAACGTGAGAGGGCCAGGGAGAAGACACTATTGTAACATGGTTAAAAGCTCTGAAAAGTTTGGCATAATAGGTCTCATTTAAGAACAGTTTTATTAGGTTACAAAAATTTCTAAACTTCTAAACTTGACAAAATTTCTGTATGATTTTTCATGACCTAAAGTGAATTTTCTGTGACTTTACAACACCTTTTAAACCAGGGGTCTCAAACTCAAATTACCTGGGGGCCACATTAGATAAAGTCTGAGTGAGGCTGGGCTGCATTGAGTATTCGATAAATAGCTGTTGCACGGGAAAAAAGGAGAGAGAAAGAACAACACGCAACACACTTTCTTAATCTTTAATAACAGTTCAGAACATGAAAATGTATTCAGAACGTAAGTTTAAACTAATACATCTACTCTTCTTCTTTTGCCTACTCCTTGCTGGTTGAAACCTGGCTACGCTTCATCTTGTACAGCTGAGAGATATTTGGCTTGCAGGAGGAAGCAGATCCTCAGGATAGATTAAAGATGCTCATCAGTGAGCCTTGACCTGTATAGTGCTTTCACACCGACAGTATTTGTTGCACCAAACGATCCATTCGAACCAGAAGTGGTTAGTTCGGTTCGTTTGCGTTGGTGTGAAAGCGTCAATCAGACTCGGACCCGAACCAACTCAAGCGGAACGAGACCTCAAAAAAGAGGTGGTCTCGGTTCGCTTGAATGACCAACTTTGGTGCGGTTCCTCTGGTGTGAACGCGAACCCGGGTCCAAACCATAGACAGTATGGACAAACGAACTATTCTAGATGCATCATGGGAGAAACGCGTCTCCTGCCTGTAATGACGCGCTGTACGACTCCAGCGCAGTAACAGATTGTTGTCCAGACGCAGCCGCGATTCATTTTCGAAATATTTTACCAACAATGGCCAATACAGAGAATGTAACACACAAAGATCAGAGCAAGAACGTGCAAACGTGTGGCTCCAGAGTGAGTCAAAAATGGAGGTGTGTACTTCTGTTCAGGACCTGCACAGGTCCCGGTGTTCCCCGTGATCATGTAGGAACCAACATTTGGTATTTTAGGCTTTAATTAACCAAATAATTTTATGGCAATACGCAATCGCCCATTCAATTGATTCACCTTTAAAAAATGTCCTGCTTTTAGCCTAGTGTGAGAAATACAGTCGGACTAGATCCAAACCAGAGCCCCGAACCAGCAGGAGCAGCTCCGGTTCTGTCCGGGCTCAGATGACGTGGAGCGGTGAGTGAAAAGCGCTTTTCCCGGGAAGAACCAAATGCGGACACCAACTAAACTGGATTCACGTTCTGTCCGGATGCTTTGCACCACCTCGGAACCAGCCGCGGTTCTTGAGCGCGGAGGACAGGAGCAGCACAGACCTGTAGGTGTAGTCCACAGAACATTCTCACTTTCCCCGCACGGAACACGGAACCATCGCGCAGACGGCGGAACATACCCGCTCAGACCCAGTCATTGCGCACTGGTCTTGCTCGCCACCGTCTGGAACCAGCACATGGAGGATGGAGCCTCCGGACCATCTGACCAACGCGCTTGTAGGACGACAGAAGACCAAGAACCAGACTCCAGCGCCGTCCTGAGGAGCTGCGCGCTACGCTGAACGCTGTTGGCTTCTGCTGTTACCCGAACTCAGAACTGATGCGGTGAGTTTGTAGAAAGTTCTATGTTGCTGTTTTATGAGTTCATGGTGATAAGATGAGGACGACCCGCGGTTTTAACAGGGAACATCAGTATTGGTTACTGGAGATATCACTGTTCTACCGGGATACAGAGGCTCGTTAATTGGACCAGTTTTGGTTCGTTTGCCGGTGTGAAAGCGCCACACTGGAGTGTATCTGTTTCTCGTATGTCAAACATGGATGGAAGACGCTTGTTTTTGCCTCGTACTTTTTGCTAACATGTCGCCAAGCCTCTGGAATAGATCACTGCAGTTTTGTGGCGCTTGCATATTGATGGGACAGCTGTGTTTGCCGCTGAGTGCGCGTGGATTTCGGCGACACATATGTGGAGCTTGGTCATCGAGTTGCCAGCAAGTTACGCACCGAGTGTTGAACAGATAAACAGACTGTCAATGTCTTTTTATTTCTTATTACCCCCTCCAATAAAGGTCCCATACTTATGAACAGGGGAATTGCGTCAGCGCCTCCTCTGCGCTCTGATGCTGTGGTTGTGGGAGCATAAAGTGAAGTGCACACGTGTACCACCATGTGTGGTTTGTTTTGGTTCTTCGGTGACGCCGTATGTGCACGTGTACTTGTATTAACAGATCCACTTAGACTCGTTGCTTCATAACTGCTGTAAATTGAGTTTTGGGATGTAAACTGCGTTAATAATCTGCTGTGAATCTGTATGGGCACCGATTGCAGGTTCATCTGTCAGTGCGGCCCGCGGTAGGGGGGTGGGATTGTGCGTACATCTACCGCGGGCCGCACTGACATTATTCTTTGTAATCAAGTGGAGGGCCGCAAAAAATCCTTCCGCGGGCCGCAGTTGGCCCCCGGGCCGCGAGTCTGAGACCCCTGTTTTAAACAAAAGGTGCAGATGTTCGGAAATAATCATACTAGCCTAATAATAACTTAACAGAACACTGGAGTTGTGTGAAAGAGATACTAAAATTCCATGACTTTTCCAAAACTTTCATTGAATTTGCAAAATTCCATGACTTTTACAGGCCTGGAAAGTGACATTTTCAATTTCCATGACATCTCCAGGATTTCCATGACCACGGGAACCCTGCATAGAGGAACTACATCTTAACTGACAAAAAAGTGGTAATTTAACTAGATTTTCTGATTACTTAACTCCTGGAAAATCATGTCACAAAATTTGCTTTAACACATTTTTTTTTTTTGTAGTAGCAGTTGTAAAGCCAGGATAGAGGCAGGTTCAAGTCAAGTTTGAAAATGTAGTGATGCTTCGTTTGTCCACATGATGGTGCTGCCTGAAAAGGTTTAGAAGCAATTTTTCGTTTCCTCCAATTCTGCCCCATGTGATGCCCTGCCATCCTCCTGTACCCTGTGTGTCAGATGCCCTCCCGTCCTCCTGTCTCTCTATAGTGTAAGACTGAGATGGGGGCAGGTCAAATGTTTGTAGTTAATCTGTAGATGTTGAGTGTGTCAGATGCTCCCACATGTTGTGGTGTTGGGGAAATACAGAGAGAGAATGAAACTTATCACTGATGGAAAAATATTTGTAGATGTGACCTTGACTTTTGGAGATGTCTGATGAAAACACAGAGAATAACACAAATACAGACAGAATCATGACTCCTCAGACTCTCTTGGCCCTCATGTCACTGTCACATGGATTTGGTGATTTGCCTAAAGTACAACAGAAACAAATGAGAAGCAACATAAACCAGGACTAATCCAAGCCTAAACCAGGACTAAACCAGGACTATACCAGGACTAAATCAGGACTACACCAGGACTAATCCAAGCCTAAACCAGGACTATACCAGGACTAAATCAGGACTAAACCAGGGCTATACCAGGACTAAATCAGGACTAAACCAGGACTAAACCAGGACTAATCCAAGCCTAAACCAGGACTAAATCAGGACTAAACCAGGACTAAACCAGGACTAAACCAGGACTATACCAGGACTAAATCAGGACTAAACCAGGACTAAACCAGGACTAATCCAAGCCTAAACAAGGACTAAACCAGGACTATACCAGGACTAAATCAGGACTACACCAGGACTAAACCAGGACTAATCCAAGCCTAAACCAGGACTATACCAGGACTAAATCAAGACTAAACCAGGGCTATACCAGGACTAAATCAGGACTAATCCAAGCCTAAACCAGGACTAAATCAGGACTAAACCAGGACTAAACCAGGACTATACCAGGACTAAATCAGGACTAAACCAGGACTAAACCAGGACTAATCCAAGCCTAAACAAGGACTAAACCAGGACTATACCAGGACTAAATCAGGACTACACCAGGACTAAACCAGGACTAATCCAAGCCTAAACCAGGACTATACCAGGACTAAATCAGGACTAAACCAGGGCTATACCAGGACTAAATCAGGACTAAACCAGGACTAATCCAAGCCTAAACCAGGACTATACCAGGACTAAATCAGGACTAAACCAGGGCTATACCAGGACTAAATCAGGACTAAACCAGGACTAATCCAAGCCTAAACCAGGACTAAACCAGGACTAAACCAGGACTAAACCAGGACTATACCAGGACTAAATCAGGACTATACTAGGACTAAACCAGGACTAATCTAAGCATAAACTAAGACTAAACCAGGACTAATCCAAGCATAAACTAGGACTAAACCACGACTAAACCAGGACTAAACCAGGACTAATCCAAGCATAAACTAGGACTAAACCAAGACTAATCCAAGCATAAACTAGGACTAAACCAGGGCTAAACCAGGACTAATCCAAGTCTAAACCAGGACTAAATCAGGACTAAACCAGGACTAATCCAATCCAGATCTAAACTGGACTGAAAAAGGTCTAAAGCTGGATAGTTTTCAAAACGTCAGGGACAAATTCTTATCCAGATGTTAAATTCTCACATTTTTATTGTTTAAATCAAATTGCATTGTTTTTTTTTATGTGCAAAACAAGTTCAACAATTCTTCACAGAGTTTAAGAATTGCTTTTTATGGCTCATATTTGAACAGACATGTCCCAAACCCAGAGTGTGTGCAAGGCTGCGTTTGGGAGGGCATCTGGGGTAAATGAGCAACTGTGGACAGGGCTTTTTGTTCCCCCATGACACTCCTAAAAACCCTAACCCTGTCCTTCTGACCCCACTGTCCTTCCTTATCCCAAACACAGGCTCATGGAACAGGCAGCAGAGACAGTCCTGCCTTTACGTTCAAGTACATTTTAGTGTCATTGTAAGAACATTTGTCCTCTGTCTTTGTCCCATCTGACATAAACCCATAAATATACCCTTTTTAAATGATTGGCTGTCAACCTTAAATATCCAGCACAGGCCAGTGGGAATTTTGGCCAACCTGCTGCCTGTACAACATGCATAAACTTTGATTTGAACACTTGAATGTGATGAGATAACTGCACTAAACATGACTACAGATCTCTTAAGTCAAACAGGGCTGTGAATGAGTTTGGAGTACATTTAAAGTGGGGGTATTTGACTTCTATGGGGAATTAACTGTAACACATAACATATTTAGATCTCCATGTTACCTTTGATTGTTTTGAAAATACTATATTCACCCAAAACCAACATATTTAAGGTGCACTGAGTAACTTTTCTGGTGGGGGCCCATAAAATAATTCTTCAAGCTGTGTCTGGAATGTTCCACAGTATGGCATTAAACCTTTCTATCTTCATGGAGACCAAACCAGATCACACAGGTCAGATCTGTGGATTGGTGACTCTGCTCACCATCAAAATTATTGTTTTTGTTCTAGGTAAAACTATAACACCTGTAATTGAATAAATGTAAAATAGAGCTGTTTAATGTCACTGTGGAACATTCCAGGCAGAGCAGTGACATCTCCATAGAAGCAAGCAGGTGACAGAAGTTACATAGTGCACTTTTATATGTTTTATAAGTTTCACTTTTGTTTTTGACGTTCTTATTCTCCCCTCTCTTTGCTCCCAGCGCTCCTCTTTTCAGTCACTCCCCTTTCAGAGCACTACTGCACATCACAACATGTATGTCAAGATGCTGTGTACAGTTTTGTATCATGTTTTTGTATATTTATCAAAATGTGTTGTGTGGGGAGCATGGGTGGGGGATACAGGCTCATACTGCTAACTGTACAGAGGGTTTGAATCCCTAAAATCTCCTGAAGCATGTTTTTGATGAGGAACAACGTTATAACATGGGAAAGCTAAAAAAAAAGTTGATTTTGCAGAATACCCTCTCTTTAAATGACATAGTTTGGAGAAAGTTGTAAAAATGATCAGCAGAGCTCTTTCTCTGGGTTCTAAACAATTGGCATCTGCCCTGGAAAACCCATAGCGATCTCTGGTACACTTGGTAATATGCTAAAATGCTCACCAAGCAGAGGACACATGCCTGCAGAGGACATGAGGACATGAGGACTGGAGCGGGAGTGCCGAGACGAGGTCCCCAGGCTTTGGGAAACACATGTGTGCTACACTTCAGGTTTGTGCTAAAAATAGTTTCATATTATTTTTGATTTAAATAAAGCCTGTAAACGACCTTCAAAAGTCGATAATGAAAACAGAATGAAACAGATTGTAAAATAATCCATAAACTTGAGTCCTGGTGCTGCTGGTGCTAGCTCGGGTTAGTGTTGGTGTTCGTGCTGGGGTCCATGCGCTGGTACAGGTCCTTCAGCTCTTGGACTTGACTCAGGACTTGGTGAGCCTGGTTCCACTGGTCCCGAGCCTCAGTCAGCAGCCTCTGGACTTCCTCTCGTTCCTGCTGCAAGTCCTGGTTTGGTTCCTGGTCCTGGTTCAGTCCCTGGTCCTGGTTCAGTCCCTGATCTGGGTTTAGTTCCTGGTCCTGCTTCAGACCTGAGTCTGGCCTGAGTTCCGTCAGCAGCTGCTCCGTCCTCTGGATTTTCTCCTGGATCAGTTCTTGGAGCCGTGAGATAGACCCAGACTTAGAGTCGGACTTGGACTCGAGATCAGGACTTGAGTCTCGGGGGATCTGGTCCAGAGACAGACTCTTCTCCGATGATACGGGCTTACTCGCCGGCACCACCTGCTGGAAATAAACCAGGTCTAAATCAGTACAAAACTAGGACTAAAGCAGGACTAAAGCATGTCAGAACCCTGGTCCAGACCTGTCTGGGGAGGGTGTGGGGTTTTATGGGGGTCTCGGTCTTGGACCCGGGACCAGGGTCTTCTTCGTGGATCAGATCCAGAGTGAGGGCACCGTCTGAGGATGCAGAGGCCTGAGGACAGGATCAGAAGTCAAAGGGCTGTTCTGTGTTTCAGATAATATTACCACATCAAACTGTCAAATCATGTCAGACACACACGGGTCAGCTCAGAGGAACCTGCCTCACATGCAGATTTGTGTTGTGGGTTCTTGTGTCTGTGTATTTTCCTTTCGGCGATTTCATGGTAAAGGTGGTCAATGTGGTACAATGTGGTCAATAGAAAAAAATCTTTGACCCATAAACTGTATAAAGAAGTGGACTAAAGGAGTGTGATGTCACCCACAGTGTTTGACGCCAAGTCAAATGAAGCTCACAGAGGCTTGCAGTCATAGGAGCGAAGTTCCATACCAAGAATAGGAATTGATTTTAAGACCAAAATGAGCAGTCTGACAGTAGCTGTTACAGAGAAAGGAAAGATATTTTCTCAATACAAAGTGATCTGAAGGCACAGTGCATGGAGCCGATAGCTCCACCGTGCTCACTTCCTGTTTGGAATGTGTCAGCTAGGGGGTTAGCTATGTCCATTTAAATATAATATATACAGTGTATGACTCTGACCCCATCTGAGAGTATGACATGATCACAGAGTAGCAGTAGCGTAATCAGACCTGAGTCTCTATTCTGGAGACTTGAGACTTGATTTGATGGACTAAGACTTGGACTTGAGCCTGGACTTGAATCTGAGCCTAGGACTTGATGCTTCTCAAAAGTAAAATAAAAGTAGGAGAACCTTTTCTCTGTGCTTACAAAAATCATCAACTGCAGAAATACGAAATACGAGTAGTAGCAGTAGTAGTAGTAGTAGTAGTAGTAGTAGTAGCAGTTGTAACAGTAGCAGGGGCGGTCCTAGGCACGGGCTGACAGGGCAGCATTTCGGGGGCATCACTACTACCACTGGTAATAGTAGTAGTTGTAATAGTAGTAGTTGTAGTAGTAGCAGTTGCAGTAGTGCAGTGGGAGTATGGTTAAATCAGATCAGATGTGTAGTAGGGTACCACAGCCAGCAGGTGTCCCCGTGTGGGTAGGCGGCGCGTGTGGGGGATCCGGACCCGGTCCCTGGTCAGGTGAGCAAGCTGCGCGTCCTCCACTGTCACCTACGGCAGCAACCAAACACAGTAAATATTGATTTGTTGTTGTGACATTACTTTGGGGGTGTTAACCCATAGCAAAAGGAAAATGAAATACAGTCAAGTGGAAAAAGTTTTTGAGTCAGTATGTTTCGCAGCTCATTCAGGGTGTGTCTTCAGTTCTAATCAGACACTGCCTTATATCTGCCTGCAGGGAGGAGCTAACTACACTGAAACTACTCTGAAACTAACACACACACTTGTTCAAGGTGTTAGGAATAGTCCCATACATACATTCATACATACATACAAACATACATATATACTTACATACATACATACAAATATACTTACATACATACATACAAACATACATATATACTTACATACATACATACAAACGTACATATATACTTACATACATACAAACATACATATATACTTACATACATACAAACATACATATATACTTACATACATACATACGTGCATACATACATACGCACACACATACATACATGCATGCATACATACATACATACATACATTCAAACATACATACATAGATATATACTTACATACATGCATGCATGCATGCATACATACATACATACATGCATACATACACACACATACATATATACATACATGCATGCATGCATGCATACATGCATACATACATACATACATACATACATACACATACATACATACATACATACATACATACATACAATAGTTCTGATTTTCTATTGTCCTGTTTTTTTTTTAGCTCTCTTTGTTCTATTGAAAGCCCCTTTTGGATCTCCACAAACAGAGAGAGCTTTCTGCACATGTTGTTCTTCTTTCTCCTTTCCCTCTGTGCTTGGAGGAACCACTTGGGCCCTGTGTCATAGTGTTCGAATAACTCCAAGTTTGTGCTGCAGTGGGTGGTGTGAATCAAACACCAGGTATCGGTCAGTGTGTGTGGGCTTCCTGAAGCCTCCACCTGGAGACGCTGGTGGCAGTAACTATAGGAACATTACAACAGTTTTGGTGATCAAGAACATAGAAGTCTACAGCCTGATTAGTGTTGATTATTTACAGAAATGTATTTTATAACATTAAAATAGAAAAAATATGTTTGGAAATTGAGATATTATGAAACACAAATGTTCATAAAAGTATATAAATGCAATTAAAGTTTTCAGATATATTTGAATTAGACACAATGGTAAATAGCCTTTTTTACAACATAGATCGCAAATTGGATTGTAAAAAAAAAACATTTGTTTGTGTTTTTGTGTGTTGGACAGAGTTGACAACATTGGCGTTTTATTTTTATTTTAAAAAAATGTATTCAGAAGCTGTTCCTTTGCATTTCTCTAGAGCTCAGACTTCACTGTACAAACAAACACAACTCCCATGAATGTAGAATGGTTTAGAAAAGTCATTTGAGTAGTGCGTATGTGCATGCATGTGTGTGTGTATGCCTGTGTGTGTGTGTATGTGTATGTGTGTGTGTGCGTGTGTGTGTGCGTTTGTGTGTATGTGTGTGTGCGTTTGTGTGTATGTGTGTGTGCGTTTGTGTGCATGTGTGTGTGCGTTTGTGTGTATGTGTGTGTGTGTGTGCGTTTGTGTGTATGTGCATGTGTGTGTGCGTTTGTGTGTATGTGCATGTGTGTGTGTGTTTGTGTGTATGTGCATGTGTGTGTGCGTTTGTGTGTATGTGTGTATGCGTTTGTGTGTATGTGTGTGTTTGTGTGTGTGTGCATGTGTGTGTGTGCGTTTGTGTGTATGTGTGTGCGTGTGTGTGCGTTTGTGTGTATGTGCATGTGTGTGTGCGTTTGTGTGTATGTGCATGTGTGTGTGTTTGTGTGTATGTGCATGTGTGTGTGCGTTTGTGTGTATGTGCATGTGTGTGTGCGTTTGTGTGTATGTGTTTGTGTGTATGTGTGTGTGCGTTTGTGTGTATGTGTGTGTTTGTGTGTGTGTGCATGTGTGTGTGCGTTTGTGTGTATGTGTGTGTGTGTGTGTGTGCGTGTGTGTGCGTTTGTGTGTATGTGCATGTGTGTGTGCGTTTGTATGTATGTGTGTGTGTGTTCGTGTGTATGTGCATGTGTGTGTGCGTTTGTGTGTATGTGCATGTGTGTGTGCGTTTGTGTGTATGTACATGTGTGTGTGCTTTTGTGTGTATGTGCATGTGTGTGTGCGTTTGTGTGTATGTGCATGTGTGTGTGCGTTTGTGTGTATGTGCATGTGTGTGTGCTTTTGTGTGTATGTGTATGTGTGTGTGCGTTTGTGTGTATGTGTATGTGTGTGTGCGTTTGTGTGTATGTGTGTGTGCGTTTGTGTGTATGTGCATGTGTGTGTGCTTTTGTGTGTATGTGTGTTTGCACTGTGACACATGTTCCTCTGTGTCTTTAAATCCAAGTGGAAAAATAAATGGATGGGTTTAGTGTAAAACTCTCACGAGCCCAGAGAGAGAAACTGTTCTTTCCACTGGTCGATACAGAACTGATCAATACTGAACACAAACTGATCGATGGCTCCCCCTGGAGGCTGCGTCACGTCACAGAGGAGCCAGGGCCAGGACCCAAAGAAGAAGCGGGTCTGGGATCAGGTCCTAAAGTCCATGTGACTGCTTTTCATGTTTGTCTAACTGTGACTTGTTTTGGTGGATAGCACCTGTGCCTAGTTTTACATCACTTAAAGCAACAGTGAGTCAATTTTTGGCTCTGTCCAACCAGGAAATAAGAGTAGAAGCTGGATTCAAAATCAGGGATATTTTCAATTCTATGGAAAGTCTCAGGCTATAAATCCTAGTCCTGCTCCTGGTCCCAATCCTAGTCTAAATTCCAGTCCTAGTCTGAATTCTGGTCTAGTCTAACATCCAGGCTAAATCCCAGTCCTAGTCCTGGATTCAGTCCCAGTCTTTTTTTTAGTCCTGATGTGTACCTCGTCCAGGACTCGGTTCTTGGCTCTAGTCAAGGCCAGGTTCAAGACCTGGATCCAGGACTCTTTCTCCTCTGGACTCACGGCCAGAAACACCAGAGTGGCCGCCTGCAACATACAAGATCATCATCTGCACCTCCTCTGCATCATCTCCTCCTCATCCCCTCCTCTACTCCTCCTCTACTCCTCCTCCTCCTCATCCCCTCCTCTACTCCTCCTCATCCCCTCCTCTACTCCTCCTCATCCCCTCCTCTACTCCTCCTGTCCTCCTCCTCCTCATCCCCTCCTCTACTCCTCCTCCTCCTCATCCCCTCCTCTACTCCTCCTGTCCTCCTCCTGCTCCTCCCCTCCTCTACTCCTCCTGTCCTCCTCCTCCTCTCCCCTCCTCTACTCCTCCTCCTCCTCCTCCTCTCCTCCTCTCTCCTCCTCCTCCTCTACTCTCCTGTCCTCCTCCTCCTCATCCCCTCCTCTACTCCTCCTCCTCATCCTCCTCTCTCCTCATCCTCTCCTCTACTCCTCCTGTCCTCCTCCTCATCCCCTCCTCTACTCCTCCTGATCATCCTCTCCTCTACTCCTCCTGCCCTCCTCCTCCTCATCCCCTCTTCTGCTCCTCCTCTCCTCCTTCTCCCCTCCTCCTCCTGTCCTTCTCCTACTCCCTTCCTCTCCTCCTCCTCCTCTCCTCCTGTCCTCCTCCTCTCCTCCTCTTCCTCACCATGTTGCCAGGTGCAGATAAGCGCAGGAGTCGGAATTTGCTGTGGCTCTTTTTGCTCCGGCTTCGATTCTTTCTGACCTCCTCACAACGATCGAAGTCCAAAAGATCCAAGACCTCATCAGACCGACCAGGCTCCTTCACCTGAGAGAGACCAGAGACCAGGGTTAGACCAAATCTAAACCAGGACTAAACCAGGTCTAAACCAGGACTAAACCAGGACTAAACCAGGTGTTATTGAGTTGTACATCATATTCAAATACAGAGCAGGATTTGCATGCTTAGTTGCTGTTTTGTTCCTCAGACGTCACACAGACCTGAGCAGGATCCAGGATCCTAACCAGATCACAGGATCTTCTGTGTTTGCTCTCGTGCCTTTGAGCAGTGCTGAGGTCTGTGGTTCTAATCCCTCAGATCACATGACCTCAGTGTCAGAGATTACCTCAGATTACCCAGGATTACAGCAGGGGGCGCAATCTCAACTCAATCTGAAACATCCTGGTTTAGTTCTGGTTCAGACCTGGTTTAGTCCTGGTTTAGTTCTGGTTTAGTCCTGGTTTAGTTCTGGTTTAGTCCTGGTTTATTGAAAGTGTGAGACTTTCTCTTGTTCTTGGTTTGAGCTCATGTTTCACTCGGCTCCAGTTTCACAAATACAGTCCTCAGAAAACCTCCAACGAACCAGGACTAAACCAGGACTAAACTAGGTCTGAACCATGACTAAACCAGGACTAAACCAGGTCTGAACCAGGACTAAACCAGGGCTAAACTAGGCCTAAATTAGGATTAAGCCAGGTCTAAACCAGGACTAAACCAGGACTAAACCAGGACTAAACTAGGTCTCACCTCTTTACGGCAGATGAACAGTTGATCTTGTCTCAGAATCACAAATCGGTTTTTCCAGATTTCTCTGAAGAGGCCTTTTCCACAGAACTTCCGGATCCACCCGGTTTTATCCGGCTCCAGGCCTCCCTGCGGATGAGAAAAAAGGAAATATGTAGTTACAGACTTCTTGTAATACATTTATCTATACAAAGATGTGTATCGCAATCCTTTTATTACTACAGATATTCATTATCATCACTTATAACACCTGTGTGTGTGTGTATATATATATATAATAAATATATATATATATATATATATATATATATATATATATATATATAATAAATATATATATATATATATATATATATATTATATATATATTATGTATATATATATTAGTGCTGTCATGCTATTAAAAAAATTTAGAGATTAATTAATTATGATCTGTAATTAATTAATCTAATTAATCTCATTTTAATCTCACCTGAAAATTGCTGAGAAAAGCCTTCAATTTGAGGTATTTTCATTTAAATTCATTATTACATTATTGTGGCAGATCAAAAGACTGATATAGATTTTAAAAAGTGACTTTATAAAGTAATTTATTGTTTAACAAATCTCTCCAAATTGGCTGTTGAGCCCAAGTCTCCATGAATAAGAAACTGTTTGCTGTAAAGTAGCAAAGACTAGGAAATCTGAACATAATAACTTTTGTCTACTTAAAGACAATAAAAAGTCCAGTCTTTCCTTAACCATATTAAAAATATTATTGATAGAGAAATGCTTTATATATGAGTCCTGGTTTAGACCTGCTTTAGTCCTACTTTAGTCCTAGTTTAGTCCTGGAATGGATTAATCCTGGTTTTAGTCCTGGTGTTAGTTCTGGTTTAGTCTTGGTTTAGACCTGGTTTAGACCTGGTTTTAGTTTTGGTTTAGTCCTGGTTTAGTCCTGGACTGGATTAGTTCTGGTTTAGAGGCGCACAGGAGGAAGCGCAGTTTATGCGAGAAAACACGATCCACACGCGGCGCACGGGAGCACGTCGGTGTCCGCGCTGTAACTACGGAAGGAAACGTGGTCCGCGCGTTCTGAGGTTAATGACGATGATGAAGGTGTGTGTTTGTGTGTGTTTGTGTGTGTTTGTGTGCGTGTCCCCTCATGTGGCAGGTCACTATAGGACAGTAGTGCAGACATCATGATCATCAGGTTGTTTTCACCAGTGACATTTAAGTTGTAGGCGATTTTATATTTGTTATTTTCTTTTATATTTCACGTCGGGAGAATAATTTCCAAGACACAAATGTGTTTTTACCTGTGCACTGCTGCCTCTGTTCTACTGGCTCTTCCACCTCGTCCATTGTGACTGACGCCACCAACATGAACATGACGTTTACATCGCTTTTACTGTGCGCGTTTTGTGTGGGTTTCCGGCAATGAGTGGAATTACCGAAATAAAAAAATGTTTAAATGTGGTTTTTTTTGTGTGTGTGTGTGTGTGTGTGTGTGTATGTTGTTGTCCCAACAACACATAAAAACAGGTTTTATAATAAAGCAACTCACATACAGAAACAGTAAAGTTAGAGATTAAAAATGAGATTAACGCGATTAAAAAACATAACGCGCTAAATATGACTGTAATTAATTAATCGCAATTAACGCGCTAATTTGACACCCCTAATATATATATATATATATATATATATATATATATATATATATATGTATTAGGGCTGAGCAAAAATAAAAAATTTGTATTGCAATTAATCGCATGAGTTCGAGCGATTAATCGCAATTAATCGCGATTAATCGCATGTTATATGCAAAACCAATTAATGGATTAAAAAATAGCGTATAGTGCACTTTTACTGGAAATGTAAATGAAAGAGCCACACATTTGTTGTGCAAACAGCATTTCTTTGACAGGGGAACCCTCAGAGCCTTCAAGGTGATCAGGGAAGGCTCAAAAAAAAAAATTAAATGGACTTTTGTACTTCTAATGTATTTATTGAATATTTTTTATGCCGTGAGTAGTGTAACACTACACTAGTAATAATTTCTAGATCAGTGTTATAAACTTGAACTGATATTTCTTGGGAAACAAAGAGTTAATATAATGGAATGGAAATGGACCAATCACATTTTTTCTTCCAGTGGTATCTGGGTAAATCAGTGACTCCCCCTGCAGCACTGAACTAAACAAACAAGTTCAGCTCAGAGTGCACGGCTGGTCCGGCCAGGCTCGGGCACGTTGCATCTCACATGGTCAGAAAAAAGTGAAAAAAGTGTAAAGAAAAGACGTCAAACTTAAAGAAACGCTCGTGGTGGACTTTTTCAAAATAAAAGCCAGTGAGAAACAGACGTTTACAATAAAAATAAATAAATAAATAATTAAAAACTGGCGTTAAAATAATTGTCGGAATTCAATGAATACCTTGAAGGCTCTGAGGGTTAATGACTTAATTAGTTAGCGCAAAGTTAACGCACCCAGCCCTAATATATATGTATGTATATATATATATATATATATATATATATATATATATATATATATATATATATATATATATAATATATATATATATATATATATATGTGTGTGTGTGTGTGTGTGTGTGTCTTCAGCACAATCTCCAGAACATGGAGGAGATTTCAGGAGACAGGCAGTTCCTCTAGGAGAGCTGGACAGGGCCATAGAAGGGCCTGAACCCATCAGCATGATCCATATCCACTCCTTTGTGCAGGAGGAACAGGCTGAGCACTGCCCTGCAGAATGACCTCCAGAAGACCACTGGTGTGAGTGTCTCTGCCCAAACAATCACAAACACACTTCATGAGGGTGACTTGAGGACACCACATCCTGTAGTGGGCCCTGTGCTCACCACCCAGCACCCTGGAGCTTCACTGGCATTTCACTACACAGATTGATAATTGGTAATTGGTAAGTCCACCACTGGGGCCCTGTGCTTTTCACAGATGAGAGCAGGTTCACCCTGAACACCTGTGAAGAGTCTGGAGAAGACAAGGAGAACGCTCTGCTGCCTGTAACATGGTGGGTCAGTGATATTCTGTAGAGGCAGATCCATGGAGGGACACACAGATCTCTACAGGTTAGAAAACAGCAGACTGACTGCCATTATGTATCAGGATGAAATCCTTGAACCCATTGTCAGACTCTACGCTGGTGCAGTAGGTCCTGGGTTCCTCCTGATGCACCACAATGTCCAGCCTCATGTGGCAAGAGTCTGCAGGCAGAACCTGGAGGATGAAGAGATTGATACAACTGACCTGACTTAAACCTGATAGAACATTCTGGGACATTATTGTTGGGTCCATCAGACGCCTCCAGGTTGCTCCTCAGACTCTACAGGAGCTCAGTGATGTCCTTACACAGATCTGGGAGGACATCCCACAAGACTCCATCCATCGTCTCTTTAGGAGTGAGACATGACGTTGTCAAACATGCACACAAGCACGTGGAGCCACACAAGAGATTGAGACACATTTTGAGTTGCTGAAATTTAAATTTTGGACTGGCCTGCCACATCATTATTTTGATTTTCAGAGTCCTCTGTCACTGAAAATGTTATTTCCATTAGAAGAGGAGGCATCCTGTTGTTCCTAAAACACTGCCCTGTCCACATGAGAGAGAGAGAGAGAGAGAGAGAGAGAGAGCATATAGATGGTGTAGGATCATTGGACACAATCGTGCAATAAGGAGGGTGTAAATAGAACCCAGAAGAGATCACTAGATTATTCAAGCATGCATGAGGACAGAAAACTCCCTCTTTTACACCGTGAAATCCTGATTTGTTTAGTCCCTCAAAACATATTTAGTTTCACTTTCAGCACCATCCAACAACACAGCCCCTAACTCGTGTGTCAGATGCCCTCCCCATGTGTCGGATGCCCTCCCTGTGTGTCAGGTGCCCTCCCCGTGTGTGTCAGGTGCCCTCCCCGTGTGTCAGGTGCCCTCCCCGTGTGTCAGGTGCCCTCCCCGTGTGTCAAACGTTTGGACTTTAAAGCAGTGTAGATCTCTTTGGTTGGTGACTGTTAGACCCCTCCTCCTTCACCGCAGCAGCAGAACCACCTCCTCAGCCTCTCCTCCTCCTCCTCCTCTTCACCTCCCAGACCCTTAGAGCCCAGACTCATACTTAACAACAAAGAGACAATGGGCGTGTCACGTGACCAGCCCGAGGTCACATGATCCTCGTCTCCGCGTGCGTCACAAAGCACGCGCATAATTCATGAGCGTGCACGCGCCTGTCAGTCACGCGCGCGCACGTATAAAGAACTTAACTTTGGCTCTGCGCGTTTCTCTCGCGTTTAATCCTCCGCGCCGCGTCTCTGAAGCGTTTCACACGCGTCTGCTTTGGACACTTTCCATCTGCTGCTCCGCTCAGAGCCGCGGAGGGGCGTTACGTCACGGGTGGGGGGTGCAGGGGAGAGGGGTACTCACCCGTTTACCGGAGCTGTTCTTCTTCATGACGCCGGGACTGGAGCTCCTGCAGCGAGGGACAAAGTGCAGAGGTGCAGCGGACAGGAGCGGGAGGTCCGGCTAAGATCCTTCGCGGCCTCACGGTGCTCCTCCCCGCCGCTCCCCGCCGCTCCCCGCCGCTCACACAATCTTCACGGGAAAACTCCGCTCCCCTCCCCGCTGAGAGAACACTCCTCTCGGCTTTGTTCCGCAGGTCTCGGGTTGTTCCTCTACTTGTGACCGGCTTTAGTGCACTTCTCCCCGACTCTGGTGCGGTCTCTGCGGGGCTTGTGTTCCGCTCTGTCCCCGGTCGTCTCCCTCTCCGTGGCCGCTCTTCGCTGCTCCCTGTCCGGTCTGGAGCTGCAGATGCCTCGGTGTCCGGTTACCCCCTCCTCCGGGACTCCCGCTGCTCCGCGGCTCTTGGGCAGAGTCGTGGCGCCCCCTACAGGCCGAGCCCATTTGTGTCCGTGTTACATAATAACAGCCCTGCAGCTACAGCTTCATTCACTATATTTATGTATTTAGAGTTGAATGCATTTTAAAGGTTCACTATGCAACTTTTCTTCTCGAGGGTGCACCGTTTGCCATTAAACTTGCAGGTGATACCACAAGGTCAAATTTTGACTGGGAGTGGGGTCATCTTTCATATCTGTGGAGAGGTGGAGAGGTGGCCCCACTCACAGTAAAAATGCATGTTTTTTCACGAGTTTTTAGCAATAAAAAGCATTACTTACAACTTGATAAACATTTAATGCCATACTGTGGAACATTTCAAGCAAATCAATGACATCCTTCTAAGAGTTCCACAGTGCATCTTTAAATATCATATGTAATTTAAGTGTGTGACTGAAGCTAGAAAGTACAATCCTGTACTAGAAGGACTGAACCAAGACTGAACCAGAACCAGGACTAAACCAGGACTGAGCCCGTGAGGAGGGTTTGAATAGGAGAGATCGCTAGATTATTCAAACATGCGTAGATGATATCTCAAATCTCTTCTGGCATGTTTTTGATTAGGGAACAATGCTAGAACATGGGAAAAGGCCCCCAAAAGGCCCCTAAACCAGGTCTAAACCAGGTCTAAACCAGGACTAAACCAGGTCTAAACCAGGTCTAAACCAGGTCTAAACCAGGACTAAACCAGGACTAAACCAGGTCTAAACCAGGTCTAAACCAGGTCTAAACCAGGACTAAACCAGGACTAAACCAGGTCTAAACCAGGTCTAAACCAGGACTAAACCAGGACTAAAACAGGTCTAAACCAGGACTAAACCAGGTCTAAACCAGGTCTAAACCAGGACTAAACCAGGTTTAAACCAGGTCTAAACCAGGACTAAACCAGGTTTAAACCAGGACTAAACCAGGTCTAAACCAGGTCTAAACCAGGACTAAACCAGGAATAAACCAGGTCTAAACCAGGACTAAACCAGGACTAAACCAGGACTAAACCAGGTCTAAACCAGGACTAAACCAGGTCTAAACCAGGTCTAAACCAGGTCTAAACCAGGACTAAACCAGGACTAAACCAGGTCTAAACCAGGACTAAACCAGGTCTAAACCAGGACTAAACCAGGACTAAACCAGGTCTAAACCAGGTCTAAACCAGGACTAAACCAGGAATAAACCAGGAATAAACCAGGAATAAACCAGGTCTAAACCAGGACTAAACCAGGTCTAAACCAGGTTTAAACCAGGACTAAACCAGGTCTAAACCAGGAATAAACCAGGAATAAACCAGGTCTAAACCAGGTCTAAACCAGGACTAAACCAGGAATAAACCAGGAATAAACCAGCTCTAATCCAGGACTAAACCAGGTCTAAACCAGGTCTAAACCAGGACTAAACCAGGACTAAACCAGGAATAAACCAGGTGTAAACCAGGTCTAAACCAGGTCTAAACCAGGAATAAACCAGGTGTAAACCAGGTCTAAAGCAGGACTAAACCAGGTCTAAACCAGGTCTAAACCAGGTCTAAACCAGGACTAAACCAGGTCTAAACCAGGACTAAACCAGGACTAAACCAGGAATAAACCAGGTCTAATCCAGGACTAAACCAGGTCTAAACCAGGTCTAAACCAGGACTAAACCAGGACTAAACCAGGTCTGAACCAGGACTAAACTAGGTCTAAACCAGGTCTAAACCAGGACTAAACCAGGTCTAAACCAGGTCTAAACCAGGACTAAACCAGGTCTAAACCAGGTTTAAACCAGGACTAAACCAGGTTTAAACCAGGACTAAATCAGGTTTAAACCAGGTCTAAACCAGGTTTAAACCAGGACTAAACCAGGTTTAAACCAGGTCTAAACCAGGTCTAAACCAGGTTTAAACCAGGACTAAACCAGGTCTAAATGGTCTTCTTTGTCATGTGCGATCTCTCGTCGTTGTCGTGTCGTCGTGTTTGTTGTGAGCTGGTGGGTGCACTGTGTGACGTCATTACTCTAAATCCCATCCCATTAGCGCTACTGTAAACCTGCAGTGCTGACATTGTCCTCGAAGTGGCGCTGTTCCCACATACATGGGGCTTTGGAGCGCTTGACCTCGTTAGATTTTCTCAATCGTTTTAGCACATTTTTTTGAAACTTGGTTTAGTTTGATCATTTGGTTCAAAGTTGTATCTGAACAGGACACAGGTGGTCATGTCGTTTGGAACATTTCTCATGAGTTCAGACAATTCTCAGATTTTTCTAAGAGCATCTGCCACAGCTCTTACTTACAAACACATATGAGGGAAGGATTCACTTTTTGAGCAGCAACACAATCAACACTAAACACCAAAAAATCACAAAGTATCACATTATTAAACCATTTGCATGTCTCAAGAAAAGCACACACATGTCAGGGTCACCACACTTTCTTCAGCGTAAATATTTTTGATAAAAAAAACAAAACAAAATTTACGTAGCAATTTGTAATGTGTACTTTTATATTTTCATAATGCGATACAAACATAGAAAAGCACAGCTTTTCCGGTCCAAACTTAATCTGTGTAAAGGTTGAACTCCAATGTTAGACTACAGCAAACAGCACTCCTCTCTGGCCCCTGAGAGGAGGACTGAGGCTCTGAGCTGCTTTTATTTATTTTTATTTTTTAAGGATCCCCATCAGTCTCTGCAAATGCACAGCCTCTTCCATTATGTCAAAGGAAAGAACACAGAAAAATACATGAGCAAAGGCAGAAAGGTTTGATGATAAACTTGCTTTTGGGAGATGATGTAAGAGGAAAACTAAATTTCTGTTTAGGATTTTGGGTGAGCTGTTTGCAAATGTAAGTTTTCAGTGGGTAAATGTGTCAAAGTTAAACAAAACCTTAAAAGCTCTACACACTATATCTGATACTCTGATGGTGCTGCTGTGCTGAGACCCCGGGGCCCAGGGCCGATTACAGTGTTGCTTTTATAAAACACTCCATTTTTATGACATATGTGTATATGTGTAGAGAAGAACAATCGGGGGAAAATATATGAATCGATGAAAATATCTGGGTACATGTAGCCAGGGCATGCATCTGTGCTTGTGGTGTGTCTGCAGCTGTCGCAGCCCGCATCCTCAGTGCCTCTACAGCCATCTGCAACCTGCCCACACAGGCCCACACTGCTCAAATACACACTTTAGAGTTACCAGGGAGTGGTTGCCAGAACAAGCTTCACACATATAGTTCACACATATTAGATGCACAGATTGTGCATGTAACATCCTACATACTTTCTTTAACCACAGTGGCAGTAATAAAATACTTCACCTGCAGTCTAAATGTAAATAATGTTTTTGTACAGTCTGAATACTCCATTTAGTACAGTCTGAATACTCTGTTTAGTACAGTCTGAATACTCTGTTTAGTACAGTCTGAATACTCTGTTTAGTACAGTCTGAATACTCTGTTTAGTACAGTCTGAATACTCTGTTTAGTACAGTCTGAATACTCTGTTTAGTACAGTCTGAATACTCTGTTTAGTACAGTCTGAATACTCTGTTTAGTACAGTCTGAATACTCTGTTTAGTACAGTCTGAATACTCTGTTTAGTACAGTCTGAATACTCTGTTTTAGTACAGTCTGAATACTCTGTTTAGTACAGTCTGAATACTCTGTTTAGTACAGTCTAAATACTCTGTTTAGTACAGTCTGAATACTCTGTTTAGTACAGTCTGAATACTCTGTTTAGTACAGTCTGAATACTCTGTTTAGTACAGTCTGAATACTCTGTTTAGTACAGTCTAAATACTCTGTTTAGTACAGTCTGAATACTCTGTTTAGTACAGTCTGAATACTCTGTTTAGTACAGTCTGAATACTCTGTTTAGTACAGTCTGAATACTCTGTTTAGTACAGTCTAAATACTCTGTTTAGTACAGTCTGAATACTCTGTTTAGTACAGTCTGAATACTCTGTTTAGTACAGTCTGAATACTCTGTTTAGTACAGTCTGAATACTCTGTTTAGTTGAGCCTTGCACCAAACACAGATGATGTCGCGTGTGATTAAGCACATGTAATTCACAGTGTTTCAGAATGATTGGCACATTGCACTCTGCATCTGTATGACTAAACAGCTGTCCTTAAGTGTTTATTTAGATTTGAAATGACACCTCCGCTATGCTCTAACTCACGTCTGGTCTGAAGGACATGGTCAGGTCACTCCAGACCTCGCAGAGGCTCCTGCGAAGATTTATCAATATGAAAGTTAGCACTTATTTTTATAAACCCGGAGTGGAGCATGTCATAGTGTGTCTCCCTCTCCCTGCACTTTTTTCTGTAGTACCTGAGAGGCGGAGCTCAGATGTGTTCAGATGTGTTCAGATGTACTGAGGTGTGTTCAGATGTGCTCAGGTGTGTTCAGATGTCCTGAGGTGTGTTCAGATGTGTTCAGATGTGCTCAGGTGTGTTCAGATGTCCTGAGGTGTGTTCAGATGTGTTCAGATGTGCTCAGGTGTGTTCAGATGTCCTGAGGTGTGTTCAGATGTGGTCAGATGTGTTCAGATGTGCTCAGATGTGTTCGGATGTGTTCAGATGTGTTCCCGTGTGTTCAGATGTGCTCAGCTCAGGTATGTTCAGCTGCGTTCAGGTGTGTTCAGGTGTGTTCAGGTGTGTTCAGGTGTGTTCAGATGTGCTCAGATGTGCTCAGATGTGCTCAGATGTGTTCAGATGTGTTCAGATGTGCTCAGGTGTGTTCAGGTGTGTTCAGATGTGTTCAGGTGTGTTCAGATGTGCTCAGGTGTGTTCAGATGTGTTTGGATGTGTTCAGATGTGTTCAGATGTGCTCAGATGTGCTCAGATGTGTTCAGATGTGCTCAGATGTGCTCAGATGTGTTCAGATGTGCTCAGGTGTGTTCACATGTGTTCAGATGTGCTCAGATGTGTTCAGATGTGTTCAGATGTGTTCAGATGTGCTCAGGTGTGTTCAGATGTGCTCAGATGTGTTCAGATGTGTTCAGATGTGCTCAGGTGTGTTCAGATGTGCTCAGATGTGTTCAGATGTGTTCAGATGTGCTCAGATGTGTTCAGATGTGTTCAGATGTGCTCAGGTGTGTTCACATGTGTTCAGATGTGCTCAGATGTGTTCACATGTGTTCAGATGTGCTCAGATGTGTTCAGATGTGTTCAGATGTGCTCAGATGTGTTCAGATGTGCTCAGGTGTGTTCAGATGTGTTCAGATGTGTTCAGATGTATTCAGATGTGCTCAGGTGTGTTCAGGTGTGTTCAGATGTGTTCAGATGTGTTCAGATGTGCTCAGGTATGTTCAGATGTGTTCAGATGTACTCAGATGTGTGGCCATACCGGCTTGTAAAAGCCTGATCCTGTCAGATCTCAGAAGCTAAGCAGGCTGGGCCTGGGTAGTACTTGGATGGGAGACCACTAGGAATTCCAGGTGCCACAGTGGCAAAGAAACTGTTGTTGTGTCCTTAGGCAAGACACTTCACCCACATTGCCTAGTATGAAAGTGGTGTGAGCGTGAGTGATGGTGGTGGTTGGAGGGGCTGATGGCGCAGATTGGCAGCCACGCTTCCGTCAAATTGTCCCAGGGCAGCTGTGGCTACAGAAGTAGTTTACCACCACTGAGTGTGGAGTGACTGAATAATGAACTGTAAAGCGCTTTGGGTATTTTGAAAGGCCCTGAGGCATCTGAGCTTCTGGTCGGAACCATGCAGTCTTTGTCTCAACACACCACAGACACAGTCTCAGTTTGAGGTGAGTCGTAAGATCGTGTTTTCAAGTGTTTTTCAAGAAAGGCACATTTAAATGAACTGTGTGCAAGATTTTGATTCTACACTTCATAAAACCATGACCTTTGTGTCTCCAGAGGTTAACTTTTCCCTTCAGATATAGCTTTTAATTAGTTTCAGTTTCAGTGCTGATCTCTTCACATCCATGTTGTGAATGTGATGTGATATGAATGATGAAACAGAACTTTTGTGATGGTCTGGCCATTGTAAAGACATCTTTGTATGTTTTTTTAATTAATTCCCATGGCAACAGAGTGGTTGACTGCTTTTGTGGCTACCTGGGTCACACACTGAGCAGTGTTTGAAACTTTGTGTTTTTGAGCTCAGTTTTTAACATCATTCATGGGATTTTAATCAATTAAGTGCAGCATGTGCAGTTCAGAGGACACAAGCAAGAGACTTTTGGAATTTGCCTGGAGACTACAGGTGGAAATTAGCACTAGTGCTACAGCCTGGTACACTGCATGTCTCTTGTTAAGGTGTGCACTGTCCCTGTCTCATTAAATAAATCAACTAAACTAAATGAGGCATGTTCTCTACATATACTGAGACTTAGACAAACATGTGTCCTCTATCTGCAGGTTAAGGCTCTGGAGACACACGTTCTGTTGTGAAAAAAATAAAATAAAAATGCTGGCTCATGTTTTGAAAGGCAGCTTTGAAATGGTGAGGATGGGCTGTTATAAAAAAAAGTGTTATCTGGAGAACACTAAAAACATCACTTTATCACTTCTTGCACTCCATGCACGGGCTGTTGTGCATGTGAACAGGAGGGGGTCCTGGAGGATTATGCACAGATACAAAAAGTGACATGGCAGCTCCACCAGACTGATGTGTATGATCCATGAGAGAGGCTTTATGGGCCCGTCAGCCCAGCAGCTCAGGTTCCACTCTACAGAGTCATCCGAACTCCTGCTGAAATATTCACCGGCACCCAAGGGCCCAATCCAGACCACTCTCTCCCGCAGCTCACAGCCGGACGGGACCAGAGAGGACCTCAGCACCACAGCTCACAGCGAGACGAGACCAGAAGAGGAGAGGACAAAGAGGCGTACCTGTGGCCGGTCTGAGGACACCTGACAGCTGCTGGGGACGTTTGAGAGACAGGTGAGTCCAGCTCCAGGAGAAGGTGGGGTCATGTCCATAGTTTAAGCTTAAAGGTCCTATATTATGCAAAACTGACTCCTGTGGTTTTTTATATTTTTTTTTATTTTTTATCATATTATAATGTTGTTAAGTCTTCAAAAACAGACCTGAAGTTGTGTTTGGTTTCATTCACACATGTTTAAGTAATCCTTTATTATTAGTCTGTCTACATGTCCACAGCTCAAAATATTCTGTCCCACCTTGTGATGTCAGGAAGCGATGATGGTGTTCATGTGAACAGCTCCTTTTACCTTTGGTTCAGTGATTCAGAGTGTTCAGAGATCGGCAATTCCATCCATCCATTTTCTTCCGCTTATCCGGGCCCGGGTCACAGGGGCTGCAATCTATTCAGGGATTTCCAGACTTCCCTCACCCCAGACACGTCCTCAGGCTCCTCTGGGGGGACAGCGAGGTGTTCCCAGGCCAGCCCAGAGACATAGTCCCTCCAGCGTGTCCTGGGTCTTGGCCTCCTTCCAGTGGGACATGCCTGGAACACTTCCCGAGAAGGCATCCTGGAGACATCCGTAACAGATGCACGAGCCACCTCAGCTGGCTCCTTGTAGACTGATCAAGAGCTTTGCCTTTCGGTCCAGTTCCCTCTTCACCACAACAATCTGATACAGCGACGGCATCACTGCTGACGCTGCAACCATCCACCTGTCAATCTCACGCTCCATCCTCCTCTCACTCGTGAACAAGACCCCAAGATACATTAACTCCTCCACTTGAGGCAGGGACACTTCACCCGCAATTCCAGAATCCCAGTGATTCTAGTGAAGGTGTGTGGAATTTGAAAACACAGTGGAGCACTTCCTGTATCACTACCTGACATCACAAGGTGGAAGAGTGGAGTGTTTTCTGTGTGAGAGAAAAACTCCACTTAAATATGCAAGATTTGTGTGTTAAACATGTGTGAATGAAACAAAACCCAACTGCAGATGTTTTCTTTTTCTTTTCTTTTTTTTTTCTTTTTTTTTTTTTTGACAAGGAAACAGCATTATAACAGAACAGAAAATAGTAATATGGGCCCTTTAAGTCCAAGTTGCAAAGACTTAAAACTTTCATCTTTTAACTTTTAACATCCATTCTTCAATGGAAATGCCATACTGGAACATTCCAGACAACCAGTAACTGTGAAAACTGTGATAGGCCTATCAAAAGTCAAATAGGCTATTTAAAAGAACTATATCTCGAGCTTTGATAAATACATTGTTTTGTTGCATCATTCAAATAAGTTTAACACAGATAAAATAAAAATAAAGACAAAATGGCCTCAAATTGCACAACGGAACGTGATTAAAGATGAGAGAAGAGATGTTGAGCTCAAAACAGGACGACAGAGGTAGAGAATGTGCTGAACCGTGACTTTTGCACATTTCCATTTGAGAAAAAAGTGCCCGAGAGAGAGTCAGGTCCCAGAGTGTTGGGCTGTTTGTGCGCCCGTCACAGAGCGCAGACAGTGCGCGAGAGAAGGCTCGTGCGCTCTGTGGAGTGACACCCGCGCGCCTTCACCTAAGGAAGTGACCCGGATCGGTTGCATGGTGTCCGGCTGCACGGTGTCCGGCTCTACGGTCTTAAGACACACGCACGGACAGATCGAGTCTTTGGCACGTAATGCGCATGCGGCTCCTTTAAGAAGCTGCTGTGCGCTGCCCCCGCTACTCCGCGACACAAAAGCAGAGAGAGCAGCGGGCTGGTGGACATTGTGGACACTGTGGACACTGGTGAGGACAAGCTTCCGACAGAGATATGAACGTGCAGGACTGTAGCGGGCTGCGGCGGTTCTATGTGCGGCCCCGGGCTCTGCCATAGCCCGCTGCGCTGCTAACGGCTTCTCTCGCGCATTCGGACTCGAGGAAAACGGAAGACATCCACACACAGTACAAGCAGCAGTATTATCCACGCACTGGTGTCCAGACGTGCCGTTCAACATGCTGAGCGGGTCTAAAAGCACGTTTAAAGTGCGCCAGATGGAGCCGGACATCAAGGTAAGCCGTGGAGCGCACGGGGGCCTCACTCTGGGTTTGGTTCTGGGGTCTAAACACATCAGGAGTCTGCAGAACTCTGGGTCCAAAGCACCTCTGTAGGTTCTGCTGCTCTCATCAGGACTCTCCTGCTGTTCAAGTGTGAAATCGCACTGCAGCCTAATGACACACACCAGTGTGTGCTAGTATATGGTAGTGTATGATAGTATATGGTAGTGTATGATAGTATATGGTAGTGTATGATAGTATATGGTAGTGTATGATAGTATATGGTAGTGTATGATAGTATATGGTAGTGTGTGTGGTAGTGTGTTAGTAAACCCGTAGCTTCTTCTATGCTTGTAATTGTCCTACATTTGAATTATTACATTACAGTTACATTTAATGAATTGTCATTAGTCATTTTTCATTCAGTTGAGGTTTGTACCAGTCGTTCTGTTCCATGGTGTCAATTGTCTCACATCACTGGTGTCTCTGCTCCTTTATAAACTAACAAACAGAACAGCACTGCATGTCCTGCTTTTCTGGACGCGTTCTTTTAACTTTTATAATTTTGGTAGCAGTAGCCTCTTGTGCTTGTAACTGAGTACAATAGTGTGTGTTTAGTTATGGTGTGTATGGATGTGGTAGTGCAATAATGGCTCAAGTTTTTATCATCATGAGTATTAACGCTTGTGTCTTGTGCAGGTTTGGTCACACTGTAGTTTTGTTCACACTCAAGTTTTCATCAATTTGTAGTTTTGTTCACACTGTAGCCTGCCTGATCAGTAGGATGTCGCTGTATCAGGTTTTAATGTTACGATATTGTGAGGGAAACACCATGATGTAACCATTATTTACCATTATTGACACCAGGACCAGTAAGGTGATCTTTAATATTCCTAATGTTGATGTGTGTGATGGTGTGATCTGGTTTATCAAATCAAGCTGAAATATCACCATGCCTCTACCCTGGTGTTTCTACCCTGGTGTTTCTGGCCTGGTGCATCTGGCCTGGTGTTTCTGGCCTGGTGCTTCTGGCCTGGTGTTGTGGCCTGGTGCTTCTGGCCTGGTGCTTCTGGCCTGGTGTTGTGGCCTGGTGTTTCTGGCCTGGTGCTTCTGGCCTGGTGTTGTGGCCTGGTGTTTCTGGCCTGGTGCTTCTGGCCTGGTGCTTCTGGCCTGGTGCTTCTATCCTGGTGCTTCTGGCCTGGTGCTTCTGGCCTGGTGCTTCTGGCCTGGTGCTTCTATCCTGGTGCTTCTGGCCTGGTGCTTCTGGCCTGGTGTTGTGGCCTGATGCTTCTGGCCTGGTGCTTCTGGCCTGGTGTTGTGGCCTGGTGCTTCTGGCCTGGTGCTTCTAGCAGGGGACTGTGTGGGTCTTTCTTCCATCTCCTGGGCCAGAGACTATTCAGAGAAAGTCATAGCAGACAGCCTCTCCAGGGCCCATAGTCTTGGTGCATGGTGTTGTTGTGTCTGTGAGCAAGACAATTTGTCCACCTTCTGGATGAGTGACAGTGGCAGTCTGAGTGAATGAAATTGTAAAACATTTATGATTGTATGTAATAGTACTGCAAAAAAATACTCAAATAGTCCATTATCCAGTTCTAATATTTGCAGGTCTTAACACTAGATGCCCTCCCTGTCTCAATCAGGAATAATGTTAGCAGTCAAGTCTCTTACTCAGGATAACAATAGTTAGGTTTGAACCAGCAACCAAGAGGTAATGCTTAAGGTCCATGGTTAAAGTGAGCTGCAGGACAGGAGGAGTTTGCGGCAACTGTTAGATTACAGATGTGTTGACCTGGTTTATGGTGTATATCTCTGTAATTACTGGGCCGATCCACATGAAACAAAAACTAACATAGCTTAACATCCCCTCTGCACAAATAGCAGAAAAGTGGAGCTGCTTCAACCGCACAGACGTGATTTGACTTTAAGACGTTAAATTGATATGTTTGTGGAACCGATCTCAAAATAATGAGAAGATTCAACATTTGTGGATCATAAGTTTGTAGATTTCCTGTAGAGTAATGAAAATGCAACCTAGAACTGTGAGGGTAAACCACCGGGAAAGCAGTGTCAATTTTAGTGCAGATCATTGTCACGCTGTGTTTTTAAAAGCAGTTAGAGCTCAGAAATGACTTGCTGTGAGTCACTGGGAGGTCACATGGAGCGTGCACAGTTCCTCCAGTCGCTCCCACACTTGAGGAGACAGGGCAGCTCCTCTATGACTGTGTTTTTCTCTTGTTTGTGTGACTGTGACACAGCTTCGCCACAACCTGCCACTTTCCCCAGCAGCCAATGGGAGAGGGTCTACTGGTCACATGGTTCTGTGGTAACTTCCTGGATGTGCCCAAAATGAACTGCTCATCTCTCACACACACGAGTGAAGGAGGATAGGTGGGTTTTGGTTGGCCAGTGGACTAGTGGGCTCTGTGAGGGTCTGTGAGGGTCTGTCACGGTCTGTTAAGGTCTGTGATGGTCTGTCAAGGTCTGTCAGGGTCTGTGATGGTCTGTCAGGGTCTGTGAGGGTCTGTGCTGGTCTGTGAGGGTCTGTGCTGGTCTGTCAGGGTCTGTGATGGTCTGTCAGGGTCTGTCAGGGTCTGTGCTGGTCTGTCAGGGTCTGTGCTGGTCTGTCAGGGTCTGTGATGGTCTGTCAGGGTCTGTCAGGGTCTGTGCTGGTCTGTCAGGGTCTGTGATGGTCTGTCAGGGTCTGTCAGGGTCTGTGCTGGTCTGTCAGGGTCTGTGATGGTCTGTCAGGGTCTGTGAGGGTCTGTGCTGGTCTGTCAGGGTCTGTGCTGGTCTGTCAGGGTCTGTGAGGGTCTGTGCTGGTCTGTCAGGGTCTGTGCTGGTCTGTCAGGGTCTGTGATGGTCTGTGAGGGTCTGTGCTGGTCTGTCAGGGTCTGTGCTGGTCTGTCAGGGTCTGTGATGGTCTGTGAGGGTCTGTGAGGGTCTGTGCTGGTCTGTCAGGGTCTGTGATGGTCTGTCAGGGTCTGTGATGGTCTGTCAGGGTCTGTGAGGGTCTGTGCTGGTCTGTCAGGGTCTGTGATGGTCTGTCAGGGTCTGTGATGGTCTGTCAGGGTCTGTGATGGTCTGTCAGGGTCTGTGCTGGTCTGTCAGGGTCTGTGATGGTCTGTCAGGGTCTGTGATGGTCTGTGGAGGTCTGTCAGGGTCTGTGAGGGTCCGTGATGATCTGTCAGGGTCTGTACTGTTAATGTGAAACAGTTGTAATGATTCTATAAAGTAAAACATATGTACTTTTTACTATTTGTCATGGGTGCAAATGCAGGGTCCTTGGTTTGAAGTATAAGTACACAGAGGTGAAGTACGTGGGCTTATATAGGCTAGGTTCACGTAAGAGGTAAGTGGTGTCATTATTAAACACTAAAGACTATCAGCAGTTCAAAGGACTAAAGCCATGAACCTGAACTATGGGATTTTAAAAGAATACATGAATTGCGTGTGTGTGTATGTGTATGTATGTGTGTGTGCGTATGTGTGTGTAATAACAGTGATTCTTCACACAGTCCCATAGTGTGGAGCTGTAAATACGACACAGATGCTGTTTTCTCTTTTGTTTGCAGTGGTTAGAGGAGGAGGGCTCACATGTGGTGCCCGGCTGGAGAACAGGGTAAAGGAGGAATGTGAGACAGTGGTGGAGCAGTCTCTAAAGTGTTTGTGAGCACCCTAGGGTGGGGCTGTCTGACCACCACACACACATAACATGTAACAGAGCCGTGTCCATCTGATCCTGACTGCGTCTGAGCTTTGTCCCGGGCTTTGGGTCGTCCAGGGCCGGGCCACATGAAGTCATCTAATATACTTTGTAGTACTTTAATGACCACAACCATAAATCAGAGACCACAAGAGGACTGAAGTGACTTGTTATATTTGAATGAGGACTGGTGAAGCTTCATTACAGAATATTTGTTATATTGCTTTTGTGCCAACTCCACATTTTAAAATCTGTTGTGTATCATCATTTCCTCCACAAACAACAAAATCTCATATCTTATTCTGTATAAAAACTGCTAACACTTTAGTTTAGATCTGTACAAACATGTTCTGAAATGTGATTCTTGTGTTAGGTTGTCAGTTCAGATTCATATTGTCTTTTTGTTCTTTTATTAAAAAAATATCCACAGTAAAGTTTTCATTTTAGCTCCATTCTAGTTTTCTTGATGATCTTTACGGCACAAAAATACATGAGTTTAAAAACACTACTGTACAGAGAGTTTACACAAGTCTCAGCTTCTTTTTTAAATCACATCTGTTTTTGTGATGGAACTCTTCAGTAAATAAGGCTCCAGTAAACAGTGGGTCAAAGGGAAACCAACCCTCTGAGGAGCTGTTCCAGACAAAAACACAATGATGTCCTAGGCCCCATTCATCCAGCCAGCCTAAAAATACCTCCTGCCCCACCGCTCCAAAACCAGTGCTCTGTGTACTGTCTGCATCTAATTATAAGGTATCAGGAAGTGTGTGGTTAGCATGCCAGCTAGCGTTACTGTCACAGCTAAACTCCACTCTGGCCTCTGAGAGTTGTGAAAAGTGAAGCAGTGACTGATTAGGATGCTCAGAATTCAGAAGGTATGTGGGAAATAACTAGACCACAGCAAAAATTAAATAAAAAAATTAATGTTTATAAGACAAAAAAATCAACTACAGGGCATTTAATTGGTCGCTGGTGTCTCAGCTGACTGAAATTCCTATTAGCTGCCAGTCATTTTATTTTTATTATGAGTTCTATGGGTCAGCAGCAGAATGGAGAATGCTTGGAGTGAGCTAGCTGAAGGTTTGGGAGTGAATTATTTAGATTAAAAAGTAGTGTTGTGGTACTTGAGACCAGTCTTGACCTTGAGACTGGTCTCAGGACCACTTTTTTATGATCTTGGTCTCAAGCGCATTTGGTCTTGGTCTTGTCTCGGACTTGATCATATTTGGTTACGGCCGGTAAAAGTGCAGAGGCTCTTGAATATCACTGCCAAACCTGTAAGAGAATGTAACTGTAAATGTTATGAACAAAC